TTTACGGATTATATCACTTACTGGCTCATTCCATGTAATACGTTCCTTCCATAGACTTTGTAATATTAATTTAGCCTTTATGATTACTGGACCGATCAGCCCTAACGGGTCATAAATTCGAGCAATTTCCGATAAAATATTACGCTTGGAGAGAATCTCGGCAGTTAAATTTTTATTTATCTCGATTTTGTACTGCAACATATCTTTATGCGAGTCCCAGCACAAACCTAGTATTTTTGTTATCGAATTATTTATATCAGGTAATTGGGTTAAATTCTTTTCAATGCCATTCACACTATTTATCAACGACGATTCATTCGACGACCATTTGCCTAGTTCAAGACCGGCTGCTGATAGTATTNTACCTAGTTCAAGACCGGCTGCTGACAGTATTTTGATAAGCCCGTCACGTAATTCAGTAGTTGCCGCCTGCGATACGTCACCACTCAAAAAATCATCCATATAAAAATCGCAACCTATAGCGGCGGCAGCACTGGGAAACCTGTTTTGTTCAGTTATCGACAATATCTTTAAGCAACCCGTGGCAATATACGAGGCAGGTACCGTTCCATAAGACAGAGTATTTAAACGGTATACACTTATCGGTTCATTTTCTTCTTCTCTCCATAAAATACGCTGATAATCCCAATGTTTATTTACGACTAATATTTGTCGGTACATTTTTTTTATATCGGCGGTTAAAACATAATTATGAGTTCTAAAACGCGTTAATATATAAATTAAGTCTTCCTGAACCGTTGGCCCTTTTAACAAAGTGTCATTTAAACTAATTCCACTTTCGGTTTTTGTTGAAGCGTCAAATACTACACGTAATTTGGTAGTAATACTATTTTCATTATATACACCATGATGTGGTAAATAGCAAATTTTTCCCGGTACATCTGTTGATTTAACCACTAACCTTTCCATGTGATTCAAATTCTCGTACTCTCTTATAAATTTGACATATCTTCGTTTTAGTCCTGGATCCCTACGAAATCTTTTTTCCATGGACAGTAATCTTCTTTTTGCAATTTTATAAGATTCACCCAACTGGTTTACATTTTCCTTGAACGGCAGGTGTACCATAAAACGTCCTGTGACATCTCTAATTACCGTTTTTTCAAATATTTTTTTACATGCCTTTTCTTCAGCCGTGTATGGAACCACAAGATTACATTCTTCGATGTGCCAAAACTGCTGTATTAAATTTTCTAAAACCCCACCATTTATTGAATCATCTACAGAAACAACACATGATGTCGATTTATTAAGTATGCTAGTACTAGGTATGGCACCCGATACAACAAAACCAAACTCAGTTTCTTGGTAAATAAGTCCCTTATCTGCACTCTTAAACTGTTTTTTACCGATTAAATTGAAAAAATGGCTAGCTCCAATTAAAATATCAACTGGTTGCGGCACATTATATAATGGGTCCGCTAAGGTAACTCCAGCGGGCGTGTTTTTATCATCTCCGATTTTCTTCATAGGCAACTCCCCCGTTATCTTTGGCACCACCAATAATCGAGTGAATAGTTGAAAGTCACTATTACGCGATTTTATTTTTAATTCAACCGTTGACGAAATACTTTGGGTCGTTTGCCCTATACCACAAACCATATGATTAATTTTTTGTCTTTTTAACCGTAAACTATTAGCTAACTCTACTGTAATAAAGTTGTTCATTGATGCTGAGTCAAGTAGCACCCTTGCTACGGACGTTTGGCCAATAGAATTGCTGACTTGTACTAGTGCTGTCGCTAACAAAACTTGATCTAAAGTATTAGATACATGTGCAGTGGTCGAAATAGTAGTGGCTGTCTCACTTGAATTATTTTCTGTTTGGGTTTCAGGCCGATTGGATACTACACTTTTATTTAAATGCAACAACGTATTATGGGGATTATTACACTTCAGACAATATTTACCAAAACATTTTATTTTATCGTGTTTTCGTAAACAAATTTTACACAAGCCTATTGTGTTCACCTTAGATATGCGCTCGGCTACCGATAACGCAATAAACGACGGACACTTATATATTGTATGCGGTTGATTACAAACATAACATTTAATGGCAGTAGTTATCAGAGTATTTGACCGAGTCGTTAATTTACGATGATTGTTCACATGTTTTATAAAACTACTTTTCCTGTCAACAGTTGATAAATAATTATTACTGCATTGCGAAGATTCTATGGATTCCATTATCTGAAAACGTTCGCCTAAAAATGTTGTTAATTCCTTAACAGTTGGTACTTTATCCTTGGATGATTTTATCTCCCACGACTTCAGCGTTTCTCGATCCAGCTTTGAACACACTATGTGCAACAGTAAAGGGCCCCAATCTCCTGGTTTTTCGCCTAAAGTTTCTAAAGCTTTCATATTACCATTTAAGTCGTCTATTAACATACGTAATCTTCTGGCAGTACTATCTTGTAACGGTTCTAACTCGACAATATTTCGGACGTGTCTTTGAACTAACACCTTTTTATTATTATAACGTTCAATTAATGTAGTCCAAGCGGCCTCATAGTTTGCGTCCGTTGTTTCAATGCATCTAATACTACTAGCTGCTTCTCCATTTAATGATGACTTTAAATAAAAGAATTTTTGAACTGGCGTTATCTCCGCATTAAAATGTACTAGGCGTTGAAACATATCAAAAAAGGCTGACCAATCTTCATATTTGCCACTAAAAGTTGGTATATTTAATGCAGCTAAATTAATTGTCGATTGCGTCGAAGTAGTTCCTGTATTTTGCGCTGTTTGTACAAGACCTTGCTGAATTATAGGGTTTAATACTTTCTCTGCCTCCGCTACTGCTTTAAAATAAGTATCCTCAAACTCTATCCGATATGGAAAATTCTCATTATTATTTTTTACTTCATCTGCCTCGTCTTCCATGGCAGACTGGACTTGTTGAAATTCATTCCACGTATCTTCTAACTTTTCTCTTCGTATCCTAAGTTGATATTTATCGATAGTTTCCCCATGTATAAAAGTCACAAATCGCGTTAACGTAGCCTTTAATTGACCTCTTCTTACTGTAAGTGACGCTGAATCATTTGTAGGGGCCATTATAGAGAAATGAAGCAAATCGATGATTACCCCCTGACCTTACTTTACCTACTACTTTTATCGCTACTATACATATACCGATAATAAATTTACTATTCCGACTGTTTATCAGTGCGGTCTAACATACTACTAATAATAAATACTATTGCAATTTCCCCTGATTTTTCTCTCTTTTTTTTTTTTACAACAAACGCTATTATTAAATAGCCAAACAAAAGCGTGCTTAACGAATAGGGAATTCTTTTTTCTTTTTTTTAATATATAACGATACTTAGGAAAAGAATGTAATTCTGTTACCTTGACAATATTTTCTCTCTTCCAGCAGTTTTTTCTCGAGAGAAAATGTTCGAAATGGACGGGTTGGTCACCTAATTATCCAAACTTGATACTTGACGAATACGAATTATCCCGTCTACGACTCCCTTACTATAATATTACGATTATAATAACACTTATTTGTCAAATATACACGATATTACACGATGTACTAAAATATTATTTAGTACCACGATACTACACGATGTATTAAAATATTATTCAGTACCACGAAAATACGATATGATCGTATTTAAAACGCACTTTACATAAACTGATCCGGCACGTAATTGGACCAAATGTTACGACTGTGGACTGTATTTTAACTATTTACGATAATAATATTAATTAGGTCGCTTAACTATAAATTAATAACAAGAACCTTTTCTATATGTACATAGTGGGCGTTTATTAGGAGACTGGTTTTTCTCCGCTGAGTAAAACCAATCGTTCGCTTATCACAATATAATAATAAAAAAAAATCATAATAATACTCATACAATAGAGCACGCCGTAACAGTGCTCTTATTGGCCTCTGACGTCGATAACATTCGTTTATAATAATCGGTCGTTTTCATTGTCGTAAAGTGAGTCGACTACCAATTTATCAATGATGAGCATATGCTTCCTTAACAAATTTGCGTACACTATTCGGTATACCGACTAAATTGTGCAGAGTATACACGTGGACCAATCGGTTTTCCATATTGATCGGTCTATTTAACACTGTATTATACACGAGGGATTACAAATATTGGTAGCTAATTGGCTTTTTTATGATATCGCTATCACAGATATGGAGCGTTTATTGTAATTCAAGATTTAATCAACAGATGTGCTAAAGTGAGACACATTGGTCTTACAACTACACTTTAAGCATTTCTGTAGATTAAGTCGTTAGTTACAATAAACACTCCATAACTGTGAATAAGCGACGTCATAAAAAAGAAATTAGCTACCTGCAATTGTAATCCTTTGCATATTATACATGTATATTAGCTCAAAAATATGAAACTTTAAATGTTTTTATCTAATAAACAAATAAAGTTAAATTACGTTGTATTAGTTATTATGGGTTAAGATAAAATAGTCATTCTGTATATCTATCTTAAAATCGTATAACTATAAGCTTAAAAATATTTTATTTAAAGGGTTTTGGAAAAATAATAATTTTATGTCACTCACTCTTGCTTTCTTTCGTAGGTAGTTTACAATGAAAATAACGATTTAAAATTTTGTTTACATACTAAACTGGGCGAGACGATTATTTTTGTTATTGACATCTTTAATCTAAAAACTACTAGTGTACAACTTTTATTGAGATGTGCATCAAAACCCCGTGTTCCCCTATTATTAAAACTGTAATAATGTTTACTTAAAATAATTCTCACCAATATTAAAGGACCACACTGTAAATATTTCTAAAATAAAAAATTGCACACGTTAATAGTACAGTAAAATGTTATTATTAAATATTGAAAAATAATAACACTATCTATATGGTAACAATACACAATAAAAACTTACTTTTGAAGGTTTGAACATATAGTTCTTTTCAATAAACTTAGCATCTGTATGCTATAAATAACCATCGAATGTTAATATTATTGAATTAAATTTCAAAATAGTTGATTCTTAAAATTTATTGAAGTTAATAATAATAATAATTAAACCTACATATCCAATTCTTGCGTGTGTATTATTTATAAACACTTTATCCTGTATAAAAAAACAATATTTAAAAATTTTAAATAAATATTTGATGTTTGTAATCACAATTAGCATTAAAAATTATATATTTAAATATTAATACTTTAAGGTGTATATTAAAAATTAAACTATATAATGACTATCTTAGTTCTAAGAAATTGTTAAATTTTAATTGGTGTCTTATACTAAAAATTTCACATGAAAATTAAATAAAAAATATCTATAATAAACTATTAAATAAATCACCCCCTCAATTAAAAGTATATTTCCAAAGACTTCTTCAAAAAAATGTCCACACATAAAAATTAATAAAAAAGAATTTATTTTGTAAAACATTTCACAAGAATAATTAGATTTATATAATATAATTGACCGAATACTAACTTAGAATATAGTTTAGTAAATTTCTTTTAAATTTTTGCGTTTTTATTGGTGTTAAAAGTAAGTAAATAATTGAACAGCGTAAATAAATAAACAAACATTAAAAATAAGCGAAAATTATTTTAAAGTAATAATAACATATTATTCACATTTTCTATGACAATAATATATAAATTATACATTTTTTTTTTATATATATGACGTGTGATAAAAATTGGTATTTACTTTTACATTTTTTAAATTAAAAGAGATTGAATAGAATGAATTAAAAAAAACATAATGAATAAATTCTAAATTTTTTATCAGTAAATCTAAATTTTAATATGCCTATTATACAAAGTGATTTTTTTATCATAACCCACTCAATTACTTACAGAATAATAATAATTTAAAATTTTTTTTTATTACTATTTTTAGTTACACATTATTCTTGAATTATTAACTATGTAATACTTTTTAAGTTCATCCCTTATGCTTGGTAAGGGTGTCAACTTTGTTTTTTTAAATGGTAACACGTATTTTTTATTTAATAAAATGTTTGAGTTTTCAATTCAATAGTAAATAGCATTTGAATTTTTAATGAAACTTAATTTGTTTATTAGTTATAAACATTTAAAGTTTCAAATTTTTCTTCCCTTCAAGGTTAAAAAACATTAACTTGAGTTTTTTTAAATGAGAACACGTATTTTGAATTTAATAAAATATTTGAGTTTTTAATTTAATAACAAATGACATTTGAATTTTTAATATAACTTTATTCGTTTATTAGATATAAACATATAAAGTTTTAAATTTTTGAGTTAATATACATGTATAATACACTAGGGATTAAAATTACAGGTAGCTAATTGGTTTTTTATGACATCGATATTAGCAGGTACATTGTTGTGAGTTTATAAATACACTAACTGACAATACAGAATGTATATCTATTGATAGTCATAATTGATAATAAACAATCCGTGACTGTGATAGCAATATCATAAAAAACCAATTAGCTACCTGTATTTGTAATCCCTTNAAACAATCCGTGACTGTGATAGCAATATCATAAAAAACCAATTAGCTACCAGTATTTGTAATCCCTTGTGTATTATACCTATATATTAACTCAAAAAATTGAAACTTTAAATGTTTATATCTAATAAACGAATAAAGTTATATTAAAAATTTAAATGACATTTGTTATTAAATTAAAAATATGCGTTCCCATTTAAAACCCTTACAAGGCATAAGGGATGAACATAAAAAGTTTTAAATCTTATTATATAATAGAACAAGGAAAATAGTTAATAATTAAAGAATAATGTGTAACTAAAGATAATAATAAAAAAAAAATTTTAAATTATTATTATTCTGTAAGTAATTGAGTGGGTTATGATAAAAAAATCACTCTGTATATTTATTTGTTTTTTAGCATCAATTCCAAACTTAAAAGGTATATATATAATTTTAATGTAAAGTTCATTTATGAAGCGATCTACTTAGTTCAGTGGGCAAAGTATCGTACCTCAGTGCGAAGATATCGGGTTCGATTCCTATTAGCTGGGCTATGTAGTTTTTCTTGTCATATCATGCACAGCAATACCTTATAAAAGGCACGTTAAACATTTTTAACGATAAATGAAATGTAAAATTTATTATTTTTATTTTTGATATAGTCACTACATTTCTTAATTTTCTCTGATCCGATTTTACTGGATAATACATCAAATGATCACAAATCATATCTAGTTGAAGGCATTAATATCAAAAATGGTAAAACTATCATTTCCCATAAATAGGGGAAATCCTAAAAATTTGTAATTTTTAAAATGGGTAAAATTCAACATTTTTAAATATTTTTACTTAAAATTGGCATTTTTCAAGGTAAGTGTATTGGTAAAGAAATTATATTTTTTGTATTAATTAGAAGATTTCTAATAGAATTTCTGTAACAGAAATAGAGGATATGAATAAAACATTCATTTAATTTAACGTATCAAACTTACATTTAACCTATAGCTTATCTCGTTCTCTACCAACATATCTTTACTATTATTTGATTAATTTCTTCATTTCATCACAAATGTTTCTAAAACTCCGCATCCTATTAACTTTGTTAAATAAAAGTTTATACNACTCCGCATCCTATTAACTTTGTTAAATAAAAGTTTATACATTTTGATTTTTTAAGTATATTACAATTAAATTTTCATAAAAAATGGATTCAAATTTAGTTAATTTATAAAAACTATAGTAAATATCAATCTAGTTTATTTAAAAAAACTATTTCTAGTGGTAAGTTTAAATGGAAACTTTCGTTAGTTAATTGGGAACTGTTTTGTTATTCCTTGTAATAAATAATTGTTAATTGATTTTATCAAATTACTATAAATAATTACACCGCTGAAAATAATCGTGACTTCTTTATAAGCGCGCGATGTTTTATCAATGTTATCAATACAAGCACCTATAATTAATATTGTACTACTAAATGGAGAATAATTTAAATAAAATTGTATATGGTCGATAACCAGTATTGTATTATTACCTTTTGAGTTGTTATGATTATTAGTTACAGACAAGCAAATTAAATAAATTAAAATCCTTTAAAATTCCTCAACATTTAATTAATGACTTGAAATTACTAACTAAAATGGTCGGTTTTACTATTATGTGGTTCTTCCAACTACATTACTTTTAAGCATTTACCATACAAAAATTATTCTTCCGTGTGGCCACCGACGTCGGTAATATTCGTTTATAATCTTCGGCCACTTTCGTTGCCGTAAAATGAGTGGACTACCAATGTATCAATGATGGGCAAATGCACCTTAACGAATAGTCGTGCACCAATCAGTATACCATAAATTGTACAGAGCATACTTGTGGCCGAACCAGTGTGCCACAATGATCGGTCCATTGTACTGTCTGTGCATCTCGTACGTACTGATATATTCTCCAGCTAACAACTCGGCGGATAACACGAATATCAATGTATGTGGAGCTTCTACCGACAGTAACCAATGGGACACTACCGTGCAAAGTGCTGGTATCGGTTTGTTGGTTTTTAAATAACCTGGTGTCGCTTATATAAATGCTATAAATGGTCTACGGGTCGATGATGTTGATATTCCAAATGAAAAAAAAAAGGAAATATATTCAACCTAAATACAATCATATATTTATTTTTCCTGAAATAGAAGTACTTCATTATATGAAACATTAATTCTTTTACTACTATCAGAATTATTGTTTGATTTTGTAATTTCAAACATTTTAGTTTTAATTTCAACTGTTAAATTAGTATCGAAAAATGCAAGTGCCGGTGTTTCAGGTTCTAAGTACTACAAATGTGCACATAGTTTTTTAAAAGTTAACTGAGATATAGGTTTTTAGTCGCTATGACTTTTCAAAAAAAAAGATCATGACAAGGAGCTAATGAAACAATAGGTGCATCAAACCACGCTTTAATATATAATCGAATGAGAAATGTACAAATATTGCGCAATGAATTTTCTTCACCTTTCGATAGTTTAAATTGATCACGAAACATAAAAAGATTTAGTGAATATATGNGAATTTTCTTCACCTTTCGATAGTTAAAATTGATCACGAAACATAAAAAGATTTAGTGAATATATGGCTTTAGACACCAAACGATCATGATGCATTGCTCCAGAATATTTCAAATATATGTCACGAGTAGGAGTACAATTGAAATTTTCGATTTTAAAATGCTACAGATAATTTAATACTGAAAAATAATAATATGTAGTAAAAATATGATATTTTTCATCCCTTCGAGGTTAAAAAACATTAACTTAAGTTTTTTTTAAATGGTAACACATATTTTTAATTTAATAAAATGTTTGAGTTTTTAATTTAATAACAAATGACATTTGAATTTTTAATATAACTTTATTCGTTTATTAGATATAAACATATAAAGTTTCAAATTTTTGAGTTAATATACATGTATACACTTGGGATTACAAATACAGGTAGCTAATTGGTTTTATATGACATCGATAATAGCAGCATTGTTATTATCAACGGTAGTAAGGCACATTGTTGTGAGTTTATAAATACACTAACTGACAATACAAAAAATATATCTATTGATAGTCATAATTGATAATAAACAATCCGTGACTGTGACAGCAATGTAATAAAAAATCAATTAGCTACCCGTATTTATAATCCTTTGTGTATTATACATCTTTATTAACTCAAAAATTTGAAACTTTAAATTTTTATACCTAATAAACTAATTAAGTTATACTAAAAACTCAAACATTTTATTAAATTCAAAGTATGTGTTTCCATTTAATAGATTTTATAGATTACTGTATAGTGTCCCACCGCGATTTATTAATTTCAACATTAGTATTTGTAATCCTTAGTGTATTATACATGTATAATTAACTCAATAATTTGAAACTTTAAATGTTTATATCTAATAAACGAATAAAGTTATATAGTAATACCGAAGGTATCTTTCACGTGGTACGTTTATGACATTAAGTTTTCATTTTGTGTATTGTTTTATTGTGTTTTAAGTGTATCTTTATTTTGTATGTTTTACATTGTTTAAATTATATCTATAATAATTACATTTGCGTTATTATTGAACTTTTATTACTTTAAGTTAAGACAGTAGGGTTGTTTCTTTTTTGATACAACATATCATATATTTCATTTGGTATAGCCTGAAAATTGTATGGGCGTGTCGTCGGTTTCGTGGAGGTTGGAAAATCCTAAAAATACTTTATTCAATACCTCATCTTTACCATGTGTGTATTCGAATTATCCGATTTTGATTTAGTGGTTTCTTCTAAATTATATTGTGCAAAATGCCGGCTATATTTTACTTTAGTATGGGCGGCAATTTGCGCTTGTGTAACATTTTAGTTTGTTTAATAAAAATGTTGACCATGTCTTAGCGGAAGGAAAGGAGAATATAAGATGTGAAAATTGAGCCTTACGATATATTAGATGGAAAAAGAAATAACAACATAATATATATATATAATAATCACAATATGAAATTTTCAGTAACGAAAAAATAATAAACAAACAAGAGCTAATGATAAATGAAATTAGTACACATTAATAATGGAATAAATAACATATATCTCCTGTTTATAACTAATACATATCTTATGGGGACTGTAAATCCGTTAAATAAACAATAAAAAAATTATTAATAATTACCCACTGCCGTTTGAAGGTGATGAATATTGTGACACTTCGGATGCAGGGAATGCAACAAAAAAAAAAATACCGTAACATATAACAAGCCGTTGAGCAACTCAAATTTAACAATGTGGCGACAAGGCAATACTCGGCCCAAAAAATACCTGGCGTCGATATAACCGAAACGGCCGACTAATTGGGCGCGAATTATTTAGTTTTCAATGCCGTAAGTTGCAGGGACCGGTCTAAACAGCAACGCCGCCGTGCCGTTACGAAGGTGGTGGTTTTTTAGTGGGAAAAAACACATTGGAGATCGCGGCGTATATTGAGACGCGGAATCTCCGGCCACTAGACGGCTACAGAAAATGAAAATAAATTTGCGTGGGGTCAGTGACACCACAGAAACACAAACGTGTATGACGTGATCGACTGACCTGCTTGCCCTCACTTACTGTGTTTTCATGTTTAATTAAATATATAGCGTCACATTAATGTGTATCTAACATATATTTTTGCTTTTCTTCGGGTGTTAAGATAACATTTGCGATAGTCTTTACCGTGGAACTCAAAATACGCATTTTATAAAAGTGAATGGGTCTAAGATAATTTGACTTATGTTATAGCTTAAGTAAGTGGAGCTATTCAATTTTACGTGTGCTTCAATCAATTTATTAAAAACATCATTAAAATGCTCCCAATATTCTAATGATGAACAATCAATACGTAGCGCCTCATATGTATTTGTGACTAGTAAAGCGAATACTTAAAAGTTGGTCTGTTCATGATTGTTATAGATTTTTCTAGAGTTTTATTAACAGTTAATTGGTACGTTGTTGAGTTATTAATCAATTGTTATATGGGAATGTATAGAATAATTTAATTCAATAGATCCTCTTTGGCATATTTCCATAAAGACGAATTTCCGATTTTTCTTATCGACTTATGATCTCTCTGTCGTAAATCCTATCATGATCTAGAGGTCTATTAATAGGAAGATTAAAAGATAAATTTAAATTTTATATCGCAATTGTATAAGTGTGTCAGCGGGACGTATGTAGGTAATTGTTTTTTTTTTTTACTAAAATGGTCATAAAATGATTTGTGTACTATTACTCTGTCGATTAATGATCATATACGATTTAAAAATTATAAGAATACCTTCATGTATACTTAAAAATTCAATTAAATTTAAATTTTTCTTTCCAGTGAAACCAAATTTTTTTATTTATTGAGGTTCAACTCTAAAAGAAATAAGAAGAAATTGCTAAATAATTCATTATGACTGTCGTGTTTGAACCACATAACCTGAGCGTGAAAAACAAAGTGTTACCGACGCGGCAACCGTACATCGCATTTATTGGTAGATAGATAAGTGAGAGCTGAGAAAAAGTTGCTACAGATATATATATATATACAAGATGATTTTTTTATCATAACCCCCCACTCAATTACTTGCAGAATATATATAATTTAAAAATTTTTTTTTTTTGTTTTCTATAGTTACACATTTTTCTTGAATTATTAACTATTTAAAACTTTTTATGTTCATCCCTTATGCCTTGTAAGGGTTTTAAATGGGAACGCATATTTTTAATTTTATAATATTATATAAAAAAAAAATTACAAGTAACTTTGTACGTACAATTTTTTTTCTGATTAACCGTTCGTCTGTTACGGCTTGTTAAAGTAAAGTGATTTTAGGCCAAGTTTCTATTGTTATTTTACTATATTAAATACAGAAGTCATTATTTTGAAGTCATAATAGTAATAAACTTTAAATTATTATTTTTCGATTAAATAAGTGAATAAAATAATGTCTATGTATTGTTCTTTGAAATTACGAAAAATAAAATATTTATTTATAATATATCATTTTTTTTTTTTTTTTTTACAACCGTTAGGTTGGTTAATACCAATTAAATTGGTATATTCTGAGGAAATTTAAGTGCAGTTGTGCTTTTTCGCCACCTTAAAAGCGCACGCATGGTCACCCGTCCGTTTACCTACGGTGGTATGTACGGCTTAACACTAGAGTTTTGTCAACAAATAGTGTGACCACTGCGCCACACCACGTCCCTGATAATTTATCATATAAGATGGTAAACTCTTCATTTTACAGCACAATGATTTTTTGAATTAAATTTTTCTTGCTATAAAAATCAAACAAATTATTATTGCAATTTTCTATAAAAATATATATACACTGTGGGATTTATTGAGTATATTGCCTCCCATTTTTTCGAAAAATAATCATTTTTATCACAAAATCATTATTCATGTATATATACTTGTTTTATTTTAAAATAATAAATTGCATAGTCTTAAGTAAAATTTAATTTTATCATAAATAAATATTGACAATACTTTATATAGCTATCATATATATAAATTATTTATTATTTAAATGATTATCATTTTTGTGTTACATTGATAGAAAAATGGTACTGTAAATAATCGAATACACGTTTAATTGAATTATTATAAAAGTTTTTAGATTAGAAGTTTAATAAATATCTACTATACAGAGTAATTTGTTTATCACAACCTACTAAATTATTTACAGTTTAAAAATAATTTAACCATTTTTTGTTTGGTTACTGTTTACACATTATACTTGAATTATAACTACGTAATACTTGTTAAACTGCGACTGTGATAGCAACGTCATAAAAAACCAATTTTCTACCTGTATTTGAAATCCCTTGTATATTATACATTTATATTAACTTAAAAATTTGAAACCTTAAAATTTTATAAAAAAAAAAAAAGAATAAAGTTATATTTTAAATTCAAATGCCATTTATAATTAAATTAAAAACTCAAACATTTTATTAAATTCAAAATATGTGTTCCTATTAAAAAAAATAAAGTTAACACCCTAACAAGGCATAAGGATGAACTTCATAAGTTTTAAATAGTTAATAATTCAAGAATAATGTGTAACCAAAGAAAACCAAATAAAAAAAACGTTTAAATTATTTATATTCTGCAAGTAATTGAGTGAGTTATGATAAAAAAATCAACCTTTATAAACAAAGTGATCAAAAGTTATTAATTTTCTTCAGGACATTTTTCGTACTCTGTGTCAATAAGTTCAAAAATTATAAACAATTTTTCATTTATATCATCAAGTGAAAATGGTATGACATCAAAATCGTATGCGAAGTCGTGATTTTGTAGAGGTTTGGGAAATCCTATAAATAAATCTATTAATATGTCTTCTGTTAATATGTGTGTATTCGTTTCGTTCGATTTTGATTCATCAGCCTTAATTAAATCTTCTTCATTAATTATCCTAGACCTTACAGTATATTTTACGAATTTTGTGACCAATTGATTCAAATTAAACAATTTTTGAGTGCTATAGAACGTAAAATCCATTAGACTCAATGCATATGATATGTTTATAGAAAAAGAACTTTTTTTGTGACAGCCTTCCAAATATTTCTCTGCTTTACCCAATTTTTCTAAATATTGTATTACTTTTTCCCAATTTCCTGTTAGTGCTTCATTAATACGTAGTGCTTCATATGCATATACGACTAGTAAACACGCATATCTAGCAGTTCGATGTTTCATGATATCTATTGCCGTAATTAAGGTTTTTTCAATAGTTTTTCGATATGTTGTTGAATTATTTATTAAATGTTCAAGTGTTATATTAGGACATGAAGGATATAAAATTGAAACAAGATCCTCTTTGGCGTATTTCCATAAAAACAAATTTTCGACATTTGAAAGTTGATTTCTGATTTCTTCATCATAAACCGTATTATTCACTAAATTTCCATTAATAGGGAAATTACTATTCTGTAAAAAATACAATTATAAATTATATAAAATTTTACTATAATTATCTGTCTTTATTAATAATATATTTTACGACAGCAAACGTTTAGATGAGATTAAAAATTAAAATAATTTGATGTATCTTGTTTGTATACGACACAATGTCATCGGATATGTTTACCCCGTACGCCACTTACTCTTCACTGGATCGGAGAAACCTTAGTGCTGAATAGAGAGACACTAGTATGGTCTATGAAATATGAATGCAGTTAAAGAATAATCTGTCCGTAGCAGTAGAAGTATTATAAATTGAACATAACGTTTTTCAAAAACTCGACTTTCTACGATTTCTCATACTAGAACAATCGCCATAATCATCGGAAATTTTTTTTTTTTTATAGTACACTTTAAATCTTTAATTTGGCATAGGTTAGACGTTGTCAACAGCAATCATACAGTCAAAAATCAAGTATAAATCAATGTAAAATTATTTAAACATTTTTTTTTACATGCTTAAGTAGTCTCTTTCAAACACTTCCTGTGCTTTTTTTTTATTGGACTTTCATAAAAACTGCATCAAAAGAATGCTTAATACCGTCATGATGTACACAATATATCATTAATGTCATAATTTACTATTTAAGACTTTAATTGAGAAACCGCGCAAAATGATTTGTATACCAATAAAAATACGATGTAAATATACCTATTAAATGTATAAAAATATACTAATGAAGCTTNCATGTAAATTTTATTATATAAATATACCTATTAAATGTATAAAAATATACTAATGAAGCTTCGCAGAAAAAAGGCATATAATAATTATATAAAACAAACAGGAAATAACAAACAATATGTAACGGTAGCACATAAGATTTAGGGTAATCAAATTTATTATAAAAAGCCCAAAATATGAAGCATTCTGGCTCAGATACGGTCAATTATTCCTAGAGGCACTCAGTACGTTAAGTTACGGTCAATCAGTTGTGTCATAGTGAAATTTATACGAGAAGTGATCTACCGTGTTTCTATTACAACATCTATTTATTTCAAAGTGCCATTGAAAATATCGAGGTAGGAAAGTAATAATTATACCAAAAATATAAAAGGTTTAGAATTATATTTTATGAATACATAGATTAAGTATACAGGAAAATCAAGTGATCATCAATAATAGGAAATATACAAAGTAAATTTAATAAATCGATAATGTTTTTACAGAGTTACATCTTCGATACGTGTATGTTTTAGAAGTTAGTTATATAGCCATCATACCACTCTAAGTAGACACACGAGGTGACTAAATCTCACCTATTATCGATATCCGTCAAAACTCGTGGCATTATTGATATTAAAAATTGACAATTAATCACAATAAATCTCATATTAATAAAATTAAGGTCACTTTATCTTTCTATCATCTTCTATCTTTCTTACAGACCCTGGTACTCATTCCCCGAGAAACAATATTATTAATACAACAAAGACAGTAGCTCAAACACAACATCCTCTATTCATTTTATTTTATTCTCTCTTTTTGATTTACTACAATACTTCTAGTATATTTACTTAGATGAGTGTTTTAAAAGTTACATGATTTTTAAAATGCCAAAAAATCGACAGACATTTGCACAAAGAAGATAAGTCGTCGGAACAAATTTTTTTTTTTTAATTTAAACTATATTACATAAGCTTAAATTTGACATATGTTTTAAAAATGCAGTGTTTCTGGAACATTTTTAAAACTTAAATTGAAAAACTTTAGTTTTGTAAAAAATTTGCTATTTTAAATCACCCTCTGTGGGCAGGTAAAGGATCAGGTTTTCAAAAATATTATATCAAATAAAAGGGAAATACATAAGGTTTCAATAAAAAAAAAATGATTTCGGTTCGTTAATTATTCAATAAGTTATGGAAGTTTAAGCACCGAAATAACATTAATTTTTTACACGAAAATTACATTTCTCTTCAATTTTAATGGTCATTTGCACATAGAAGATAGGTCGTCGGGAAATTTTTTTTTATCTAATAGTGCATAATGTAAGCTTTGATTTAAGATATGTTTAAAGGACGCAGTATTTCAGGAACATTTTCAAAAGTTAAGTTGGTAAAGATTTATTTTGTAAAAAAGTTACTATTTTGAAACCCTTCTTGTAGGTAGATAAAGAATCAGATTTTGAAAAATATTATATCAAATAAAATGGAAATGTATGAGGTTTCATTATAAAAAAAAATTATTTTGATTTGTTCATTTTTAATAAGTTATATAACTTTTCAGTAAAACTTTTAGAGAAAAAGTAAAAAAAAAGTCGAAATTTACTAATTTTAAAAATCATAATTTTTAGGAGATTTTCATCATTAACGGGGAACGAAGGAAAAATTTTCAATTTTTTAGGGTAATATCTTCAACTAGATACGATATGTGATATTTTAACGTAAATATATAAACACATCATGATAAAATTAATATGTTCTCAGCTTCGCATCGAAGCTAATAATATGTATTATTAAGAGTAAAATTTATAAATTACCGAATTTATTTTATATGATCACTAAAATTCACCAAAAATAAGCTTAACCCGCTTTTTAGCTTAGTAACAATCAAGGAAACCTAGTTTTAGTCATTAGATTTTTGACCCCCCCACGTAAAAAATAGTTCCGACGCCCCTGACATTATGTACATTCATTAGATTCTGTGATTAGTCCGGCATTTATTTTAAAATTAATTTTATTCAAAAAAGATTGAAATGCAAAATCAAGTACACGAAGTGGTCCAAGTGAGGATAGATGGAAGAGAACGGAGCCCCCTTCTTATTTGAAGAACAATCTAGCAGCACTATAAATGGAATACCCAAATGCCGAGGGGGCGCTTTAATTTTGAGCACTTAATAGTAGAAAGCGTATTAGATAGGCAACAATCTATTACTTTATTGAGATAATTTTTTTTTGAGTAAGTAAGTATATTTGATTATTATAATAAATATCAGTTTTAGTCTTTGAGGGAGACAATTCAGTGTGGCTCAGGAACGTCCCTCATTTTTTAAGAATTACAGTTGTAGTTTTTTTAACTTTAACTACTGTGATCACGCAAATATTTTAAACATAATGATAAACTTACATAGATTTTAACTACTTTGAAATAAATGTTTTTGTTTATATTTTCAAGAGATGTCTGCAATGCATTAAAACCATTTGCTGTAAATAAATGATTTCATAATATGATAAATTATTCAAAAATATTACAATCATGATATTTACCATTGTATAAGAACTTATGTTCATTTTTGTAAGTTAAAATAATGTTTTGATTTCCAAAAGTCTTAAAAATACAATTAACAGTGATTAAAAAATAATATTTTGTGGTATCTGAAAAGGTCAAAGGAAAATTCAATTTTTTTTCGAAAAGAATGTAATTTTAGACAACAAAATAAACGATTTTAATTTTCTAATATTTGTTCTGTGTTGGTCTTTTATAGGCCCTGTAGAAAACCACAGTAATTTTACACGTGTTGAAATATTATGCAATAATATCGATATTGATATTATTATTATATATTGCGATTTTATTGAAATCGGTTTAAATAGGCTAGTCAAAAATATAACTTTAAGTTTAATTTAATTTTATTTTATTTTATAATTTCACGGGCAGAAGCCCTTTTTACAAATAATACAAGTACATAAATTAGGTTATTGTAACATAGAAAGATATATACTAAAAATATGCAAAATAATTATTAAACGTAAAGATAAAAAAAAAAAAATGAAAATTAATTTAATTATAAAACATAAAGAAAAATACAAAAATTAAAATGAAAAGTTAAGGTCAACATTGGCATTAGTCATAAGACGCCTAAGTGGCTCATTTTTTGCATAATTAGTTAGGTAGTGAGGGACAACAAGTGGAGCATTATTTCTTGTTGCGCGCTGAGGTACTCTGAAACATATGAGGGACAACAGGCTCGGCGAATCAATATTACCATTCAATAAACCAATTAGGAAATTAATTCCAGCATTGCGCCTACGCTCAACTAATGAGGATAGGCCAAGCAAATACGAGACAGGGGCATAATCGTGGTTTGGACAGACTATGTTGTGCGAGTAGCTGACAAAGCGTAGGAACTTTCGCTGNAACTAATGAGGATAGGCCATGCAAATACGAGACAGGGGCATAATCGTGGTTTGGACAGACTATGTTGTGCGAGTAGCTGACAAAGCGTAGGAACTTTCGCTGAACTCGCTCAAGCTGTAGCGAGCCCAAGGCAGTATAAGGATCCCTACTACACTACTATATTCTAGAATAGGTCTGACTATAGAACAGAATAGCACTTTAAGTGAAAGTCTTTGCTTGAATCTTTGGCCAAACGCATAATAAATATTATAATAATAATTTGAATTTAACATAGACCAATTATATCTGTTTCAATGTTAATTCTAAATCATCTAATTTGAACATGACGTGAATTTTTTGAAAAAAAAAAACTATATTTTGTTTCTTCTTCTTCCTCGTCTTGACCCAACTACTTAGGATCCACCCTTATCCTAAACTTCCAATTGACACGATCTCCCACATCAGCTGTCCTCAAATCGCAAATATCATATTTGTTTATGAATTATTTATTCTCATATCACTTAAACATATTACCAATACATTAAAACTCAAAATGTAGTTTTTTCACATTAAAATATTGTAGGTCGTCTATTTAATTAAAAAACATTAAACTATGGAAATCATAAAATAACAATAAACACTGTGTTGCACAAGCACTGACAGATCTGCCACAGCAGCGGATACTAGTACTGGACCAATACTGACATGTCAGAGATTTGATAAAGTTTACCGATGTCAGTTGATAACGAGCCGTCATCCAGGGACGGCTAGCGAATAGTTTCACTGTCATAATGGAACTAATCGCTGCACTAATTAGGAAATCTGAAAATTTAAATAAATACATTAAAGAAACACTTCAATACAATGTTGAATACGCGTACTGTGTGTGAAATTAAAAACTATTTATAATAGTGTAAATGTAATTTCGCAAAACCGCATATTAAGTTGGAAAATTTGAAAAATTACATCGAACGGTAAAAGCGGCATGTGAGTGCTGTCACGATAGGGACGAGACTGATATGTCTAAGATGATGAAATTTTATCACAATTTTATCCTTCTCACTTGTCTTTTTATTTTATTAAGTTTTGAGTTACGATATAAAAAGTTTTCGGGCGAAAACAAAATGTATAATAATTATTTTAGATCCCAGTGACTAAAAATGAAATGTGTAACGGCTTTGATATAAAGTTAAAACCACGAGCGAACCTAATACTTAAAATTATTAATCGTAATAAAATATTTAATATTTTTGGGATAAATATATTAAAAATCATCTAGAAACAATGATCACTATTTAGAATAATATGTCTAAAAGAACAAATCTTAAGGAAAAAACATTTACATAACTCATTCAGATTTCATGTAAGAATATTTATTGACCAAGAACTCTCGTTTTTATTAAAAAATCGACTTTTTACAGTCTGCAAAAGTGTTTTAGCGATCTCTAGTGAGATTCTTTAGATATGTTTATTTGGATTTGATTAGTCAATTTAATAAAATCTTTTGAGTTCCGGTTTCATGGAATATTTTTTTGACTTAATTTTTTTAACGAACATTAATATTATGATTTCCATAATTTCTTAGTTAGTGTGAAGATAACATTTTTTAACTTCACATCATATATGAAAAATACAAATCATATAATGCATATTATAATATACATCAAAACAGCAATAACAAATTAACAAAAAAATCACCGTCAATTAGTTTATGTACCAAATCAACAATGTGTTTAGTAGTATATATAATGAATATACTCTATAAGTGATTATTTAATTAATGACACTTTAATTAACCAAAAATAAATACATAATATTATATAATATTATAAACTTATAATATTGATAATTTTACTAGTGATTTCTTTTAGTGTTATGTTTTTAGTTAATTTACAAATCATTAAGTATTTTTCATATTCTTCCCTTTTACTTTATAAGAGAGACAACTTTATTTTTCAAAAATTTAAAGTATTGACTAGAAATGACGAGCGGGTCCTGCAATGTTTTCATTTAACGTTTCTTAGACGCATACTAAAGTTAATAAATAAAGTGGATAAAATATGGAACTAAAATAAATCAAAAGTAAAATTCTCAATACTATATTCATTTTTTTTTTTATTAATTAAATGATTAGTAATAAACAAATCACCTTGTATTTGTGTTTGAATGATACATGATACATATTACTTATAGATGTAATAAATAATGCGAGAAAATATATAATAAAAGATACATACGATTATAATATCTATAATGTCTTTTTTTTTAATTGAAGTACCACGGTAATCATCCTATAATAATAAATTAAAATACCTATAAATTTTCAAGTTTTTACTAAAAGTTAATATTTACATATTTTATTTATAATTATTATTGTTATTTAAGATAGATGCGAGCTAAAGACTTTTTCATATAAAAATGTTACAATTAAGAAAAATTATTACTGCCCTCACCCATCGAAATAATGTACCCACACCAATTTTATTTCTAATTTTTTGGGTGGGTTGATTTCTACCCTCTCTTGCTAATCACACTTATGGTCAAGATACTTACATAACGCAAACGAATTTCTGCAAAAATGTTTGCTTCGTTTACAAAAGTCTGAAATAAAATCCAAAAGTACAATTATTCAGTTTGGTAATAGTTAAAAGTTTTATTCTGGGGAGGCAAAAGCAAAAACTTAAAATAAAAAATACTATATATCTAACAGATATACATGGATATTTGGCTTTTTTTATAGGCGTAGTGGTCACACTAGTTGTTGACAAAACTCTAGTCTTAAGTCGCGCCTACCGCCGTAGGTGAATGGATGGATGACCTTTTACGGTACCGAAAAAACACCATGTTCCCAGTGTAAAAGACAACGGAAAACCACTACACTTGATTTTTCCAGGATATACCAATTCAAATGATATTTAACCAACTTGATGATTGAAAAAAAAAGAAATTAGCCATAGATAGTATAACTTATAACAAAATCTCATAAGGCACAAAAATGAGCTTTTAATAAAATCTTTATTTTTTAATTCAATGCAAAGGTAAGAAGGTATTGTTTTTGTAATAATGTGTTCTTTTATGACTTTTCATGAAAATTCTCAGCTCTCTTTGTTCCGAATTTAATGATCAATACGTCAATAGAACCCGATTTCATCTATTTAGACTTTAAGTTGCTAAAAGTTGAAAAGAAACTTCAATTTTTTTTAATTTAGACAAATATGTCATATTACACTGCCGTTAAAAGTGGCATTTTCAAAAAAAAAATTTTGCATTTTAAAACTACTATGACTTCTTCAAAAAAACACCGATCTTAATAAGATTTCAAAAAGGCATACTAGATACAATAAAGTTTTCTTTTGCAGTGCATTTTTGTGATAATTCAATGAAAAACCAAAGTACTGGAAGATTTTAAAAATAACCACCCACGCATGTTAAACTTTTTTTTCAACTAAAATTTTAAAAATATTCCGAAAGGTCTGACAATGTCTAACCTATATCAAATTGATGCCCTTGAAGTTTACTCCAAAATTAAAAAAAAAATTTGCTCGGCGATTGTTTTACTATGAGAATCGTAAAAAAATCATATTTTTGCCAAAGCGATAATATAACGTTTATTTCAATAAAGCAAATAATCAAACAAGTATTTACTATTCTGATGAAATTTTAAATCATTGAAATTGTAAAATAAATATAAATATAAAAATCTGAAATCGAACAGATTCGAATTGAACCGTTTTTTTATGATACAGATGTTAATCGCTGTAAATTGTCATTTATACTTGTCCCAACTATCCCACAGTACTGCGCTTATAAAGCCGTTTATACACATTTATTTTTTTTTGACCTGAGTTTTTAATCCAATATTATCTCTGAGGCTTGTATCCAAAATAATAAGCCACAAAATTTTTATTTTTTGTTTGATAGAGCATCGTAGAACCTTTCAAGGAACAAATTACAATACCCCCCCCCTTTTATGTTTTATAAATTACTTCAAGTCACTAAATACAGAATCAAGAACAACCACACGTTTTTCCTTACCATTTTTACTATCATAATAATTTTCAAACAAATTGCGTATTATTCTAAAATAATGAGAAGCAATGTTTTATTAGTTGTGACAATTCTCGTTTAATTTATTCGCATTATTCCCTCAAAACAATGACACAGTATTTTGCTAAATGAGTTTAAAAAAAATATTCTTTATAAATTTCAAATATTATTACACTAATCAAGAACATAATTAAATTAAGGTAAACATTTATGTAATGTATAATTATATTATAATTATTGATAATTATGTGATAAAATCATTAATTTTATTTTAAATTATTAGACTTAGAGGTTTTTGAAAAATTTTTAATTTTATAATGCTCACTTTCATTTATACATTTTTGGTAGTAAGCAATAAAAATAAAAACAATTATGCTATCACATTTTATGATCATGTTAAACTGGGTTAAACGATATGGTCAAACTAAAAACTATTAGTTTGTTCCCCGTGTTTCTCATATTATATTACTTAGTATAATGCCTGCTTAAAATTAGTTCTCACCATTTCTAAAGCCTTGCACCTTACAAACTCCTAAAATAAATTAAAACATTTGTACGACAAAATAGTTTTATTAAACATTGTACAATGATATCACAATCTAAGTGATAACAGTACGATAAAACTTACCCTTACGCCATATATACAACTATCTTTCTTAATAAATTTAGCATCAAGCACCTAAAATATAATTAAATTTTTAAATTATTAACATTCAATAATTTAAATATAGATTAATTAAAAAAATTTATTGATACTGCAACTTACAAAGTGATTATGATATAAAGACTCAAAAATATCTATATATTCTCCCTATATGAAAAAAAGATACTTTAAAATTTAATAAAATATAATAACAGTAAATGTGTTTTATATATCAAGACGTCATATAAAATTAAATGAACAAAGTTTATTTAAATTACTTGGCCAATTACAAGTACATTTCCAAAAACATTTTCAAAAAAAAAACCATACACGAAAATTAATAAAACGAATTTTGTTTTATAAAACATTTTTTAAGAATTTAATTATTATACCGATTTATACCTTAAGATATATTTTATTATTTTCCATTAAAATTTTCCTATTTTATAGGTATTAAAGTAAATAAAATATTAATAAACATAAATTAAACAAAAAAAAAAAATATTAAAAAGATGTGAAACATATTTTTTAATTATTTGTTAATATCGTATTTTCACATATTAGTCGATAAAAATATATAAATTATTTTAATATTCATAAATGGAGTGTGAAAAAAATGCTATTTACTGTTTCGTTTTTAAATTTTAAAGACTATCTAATAGAATGAACTTTAATGGATCTCAATAATAAATTTTAACATTTTTCTTTTTAAGTGTTAATTTTTATATTATGTCAAATAGGTAACTATAGTTCTAATTATAGCTATAATTAGATTACAACTTAGCAGGGAAATTTGTTATATTTTATTATTAATATTATTTCTTTTTTTTAATAAAACTATAAAATAGTTTTAAAAACGCATATGGATTACCAAGAAATCTTTAAAGAAACTTGAAGAACAAAGGTATTCTTAAGAAAATTTAGTTGTCATATTTTAACCCAAAATATTACTTACCGGTAAAAATATAAAAATAAATTGTTTTTCAATTTGCATTACTCGTTTAAAAAATTTATACACGTTTCTCACAGTTTAAACAGACTAACTAAATATTACACATTTTATTTATTTTTAAAATAAATATAGATTTAGTTACTTAAAATTTAAGAGCTTGAAATTTTTATAAACGGAATATTATATTGTTTTCAAAAATAAAAACGAAAAATATTATAGTAATTTAATTTATTTATTGTATTTATAAATTTTGATAAGTTATTCCAAACACATCATCAGCCACTATAAATTTGTACTAATATGTCTGAAAACTTAGTTATGTGATCTAACTGGGATTGTAGTATTGGGTGGCTGGTGTGGACTAACAAGTGGGTAAATGCTATTGCCGCAGAAGAATCGCTACGCATAAGCAAAACGTAGCCAAACAATTGGCAAAGAAATATCTAAAAATATTTCACTTATAATTTTTGTTAATTTAAGTACAAACACAAAGGGGATATTTGTTAACAAATTAAACACTATCCACAAATTTGCTATGAAGCGTTTTTTATGATAGTGATTTTAATCACTATCAGATGTCATCTGTACTTGTTCCACAACTAAGCCACGTCCCCACTGTGTTGTATTTTTTTATTTATACTTAAATGAGTCAAAGGAGCTGAAATTTAAAATTTTAATAAGACCTATTATACATTATACAATGTATAATATATTAAATAATATTTTCTATACGATAAATATGAAATTACTCGATATTTTTTATAAAAATTTAAAATGAATGGCGAAATCTGCTTGGGGTTCTAATGACTTCTTGCTATATATCCAAAGTACCACCTCTTGTGTCTCTTAGGGCAGTAGAATTTAAAACGTAAAAATAAAACAAAGTTAGATATTACAGGCAGTTACAATGAAACAGCTTTTGATCCATTTAGAAACATTGAAATGTGATGTTTCAAAAGTAACAAGCAATATACATTCCAGATATGTTGGAAACAACAAATGTTTAGTGGATATGTTTCACTTAATACCTTTAAAAACACAAGTGTTAAAAACAATTTTTTTTTAAAACTTTATGGATCTTTGATGATCTGTTTCACAAGAAAAATTAAATTTCTATCATCATAACTTGTACTTAGAACTTGTATAAACTTCAGATTTGCAAATGCCAACCCCATGATATTTTTATGTTTTTGTTCGTCATAAAAAAAAAAAAATTAAAAACTTATGAATTTTAAATAAGATACGCTATTTTAAAATGTACGATATTTTAAGAAAAAATTCAGTATTTATCCAACGCGGTGACATTATTATTTTATGTAGCGATAAAAGCTACCTGTTTACTGTTTCAACGCACATAGTCAGAATAGCGCTTATCGAATTACGACCTGTAATGTTCGAATCTGTTATAATTTTTTCTTAATAAACCCTAAACTTTAGAGAGCCGTGGAACACTTAATATTAAATAAATAAAATATTTTTTTTTTATTAAACTAAATCTAATGGCGTAAAAAAAAATAGGGTTGCTATTTGAAAATATGAAGTGATATAAGTTTTAAGCATAAGAGATGATGGACAGGGACGGCGTCATAGGGGGGCGAGGGTGGGCAGTCACCCCCCTAGGACAGATTCTCGCCCTTCTCTCGCTCACTCAGTCCTCACAGAAATTTTGATTTGAGTGGGTGATTTATCGGTTATTGTTGTATAATATGGTCCGTGGTATTGAAGAGAGTAAATAATCATATTTTATCGTCAAGTAATATAGAAATAGTTTTCATTTGTCGAAATGCCGATATTATTGAAATTTGTACGATTTAAATTCAAAAGAATTATTAATAACCACGTTCGTCTAAATTATGTTAAACGTGGATATTCTACACAGCGTGTCCTCGTACAGTGTGTACAGTTCACAGTTGTGTGTGTGTGTGATAATATTTCCGTTGATGTATATATTTATAGGTATTTTTGTGTCTTATTTTTAATTTTATTATCTAAATTACGACGTCAAGCGGACGATTGACGAAATGACAACTATTAGCTGAGTATTACTACACAGATATTAAAAGATTATTTTTATTTATTTTCAATTTGTTATAAACGATTGTAGTTCGTAATAGGGACTGTAGGTACTTTTGCTGTTTTATCGCATAATGCGTATACTGTCCATGTGTTCGATCTATCGTTCAATAAAATTATTTCCTTAATATATTTTAATAAATTAACTATAAAATTGAATATCCATAAAATAAAATTCCAACATTAGTATTCGATAAATTGATTTCTACTATGGTCCTCAAACAAGTGTTTCAAATGAGTCAACTAATGATAATAGATTACAAAAAAAAAAAAAACAAAAAACTACAAATACAGTGGCTGATATTACAAATTTGGTGCAACCGTGGGACGTTCAAAGTGATTTATATGTCAACATAAGTAAGCATNGATTAAAAAAAATTTAATCATTTTTGTTCAGAATAAATAATTTTAAAAATAAAATATGAAGTTTATTATGTTTTGTGGGAGTTTTTGGGCAATTTAATTTTAAATTCTTGATTAAAAGCCTGAAAAAAATATTATTATTTCTATTATCTAATAACAGAAAAATCACAAAAATTAGGTATTATAGTCATGATTATTCTTTTTTTTCGGTATTGAAATTAAAATTGTCTTTAAAATGAATATTTTTACATAAAATAANTAGTCATGATTATTATTTTTTTTCGGTATTGAAATTAAAATTGTCTTTAAAATGAATATTTTTACATAAAATAATGATGTTTTCAATCAAAAATTTGTACAACTTTGAATTTTTTATTCAATTCACATTTGTTTTGCCAAAATAACCGCCACATATTTTCTAAGTTTTATAAAGTATAGGTAACAAACTCAACAAATTTTTTTTATATTAATATAATGTTTGAATTTTGAAATTGAATATTTCAAATGACTTGTTTTTATATAAAATTTGATATATATTTTTGTTTTTAAGTTCCTACATTTTATTATTTTTATTTGTTACTTATTAGGTTTTACATTTTTAAACAAGCTTTTCTATATGTAGGCTTAGCAATATTTGACATTAGTTCCTTGTATTTAAATACTTTTATTTGGTATCAAATATCCTATAGATGTATTTTAAATTATTTTATTTTATATCCTTCTTGTGTGTTGTAATTTTATTCAATATCAAAATATTAAATCTTCTAGATAATAATTTGATGAATAATGATCAATGAATTACAAAGAAAATTTTCTGATAATAATCCAATATTATCTGGTATTAGTTCTTTAAATCCTCAAAATAATTTTTTTTAGACTTGCAAGTATTATTACCTTTTGCCAAACATTATAAAGTGGATATTGAAAGCTCGGAATCTGAATTGAAGTTAATACCCAAACTCATAGATAGACATCAAAAACAAAAAAAAACTAAAATTAATACTATACTTGATTTCATACAGTTGCTTGAAAATTACAAATTGGCCTTTTCTGAACTATATTTGTTGTGTACTATAGCAATTATCATACCTCCTTCAAGTGCCGGTGTTGAGAGAACATTTTCTAGTCTCCGACAAATTAAAACTTATATGAGAAATAAAATAATCAATACAGGATTATCAGATTTAGCAGTTCTTTCAATAGAGAAAAATATTTCCAAAAACCTAGATTTGGAATCCATTGTGGACAAATCTTCTGCTGCTCATGACAACCCCAGAATAATGCTTGTTTAAAAAAATCTTACATATTTCATTTTAAACATTACTAGTGTGTTAAAATTTTATATTATATGCAGTAGGTTATGCAAAGTTAATTAGTGTATTATATATAAATCATTACTTTTTTTTTTTTACCAATAGATGTAGTGTTGTGTTCGCCCATTCAAAAAAATTGCTTGCCCTTTACCGCCCCTAAGGAAAAAAATTCTGGCGCCGTCCCTGATGGTGGACAATGATCAATGATCCAAAATGTTTATAAACACTTTTATTTTTTAAGATATGACGTGAAACATAGTTAGCTAATCACGCTGTATAGTATCCTGTTGTAACACTGGCCCCTTTTTTAACTCGTCATTTAGGATCACACGCGTTCCTGTTTTACTCAGGACATCGAATACTACACATGATTTGGTAGTTGTACTATTTTGATTACGCACCACGTGCGAGCCTAGTAGTAACCTTTCGTTGTTTTTTTATCCTGTGTTTACATATATCAGACCTGCTTCTGTAGGCATACCTGAGATCCTTTCATTTTAATGTTATTATTGCCAGTCACCCAACTTATCCCTATGTCGACTAGACCAATAGACCGCCAACAGGCCGCTACCGCCTACCGCCATTTATAAAACTATGCCCCACTTTACTTTTTGTTTATTACAGCCCGTACTAGTATAGTATTGGCTGGCGTTTTGTCTAAATACTGTCCTAGTATTAGTGGTCAGTACTTAACTGTCATTGCTGACAGCTATACAGAAAATCTTCATCATCTCAGATATTTGCCAATATTAGTCCAGTACTAGTTAAGCGAAAGTGAGTAAGTACTACTAAGCGAAAAAACTCCATTTTGAGAACTAATCTATTGGTAATATATTTAAGTGATATGACAATAAATAATTCATAAACAAAATAATGTGTTGGGACCAATACATTAATCGATTTAACGTTGAATAGATTTAAAATAGTGTCGTACTGGAGAAACAGTTACACGCGAATTTATTTAGTACTAAAAGTCGCATAGTTTCAAGTGCGTACAAGGACGTATGTGCACACATATCGCTAACATCGACTACAAGAGTCCTTACAACCGAATATTTGTGTTGTTGTGATAATTAGAGAGAGTTATGTGAAACCATTTGTTTATATAGTAAACCTTCACTGAAAGAGTTTTAGTAATATACAGTTATAAGTTGTCGGAGATGACTAAATAGCTACATAAAATATAACGATAGTCACAGATCATACAGACTCGTGTGCATAATATTTTTTATGTAGGAGTAGTAACCTTTCATTGGCCTTTTATCTTATGGTCATGATAAAAGAATCACTCTATGTATAGTATATTTTTTTTTGTTATAACAAAAAGTAAAAATCATTTTTAATTTATCATATAAGATGGGTTAGATTCTTATCTTACCGAGGCATATGTTTAAAATTGATGGGTTTAATTTTTAAACTATTGAAATCTTTGCGAATTATTCAAGTATTTTTTTATAATTTGTATACCCCGATTTTCGATAAAATTGTAAAGTAATCATTTTAATGATAGAATCGTTTTTTGAGTTGAAGCACCTCTTCCACCTCAGTGGCACTTTTCTGTTTTATATTTTTTTTTTTTGAACCACCTACTGTAATCACCTACGTCAGTAATATACAAATTACTTCTTATCTAAATGATTATCGTATTTATATTACATTAATAGAAAATTGGTAATATATATAATAGAATACACGTTTAATTGAACTATTGTAATGATTTTTAGAAAATTAATATTTATTATACAAACAAAATGATCAAAAGTTATTTATTTTCTTCTAAAAATATTTCGTACTCTGTTTCAATAAGTTCAACAATTGTAAACAATTTTTGATGTATTTTATCGAGTGAAAATGGTATGACATCAAAATTGTATGCGAAGAAGTGTTTTTTTAGAGGTTTGGGAAATCCCTGGAATAATTTTATCAATATGTCTACTGGTAATTTGTGTGTATTCGTTTCGTACGATTTTGAATGTTTGGTCTCTTTTAAATCTTCTTTATTAATATCCTTAGATGTTAAAATCTGTGTTACGAATTTTTCCACCAAAAAATTCAACTTGAACAATTTATCATAAGAATCAGGATTTATTTGATTTAAGGCATATGATATATTAATAAATAAAAGACTTCTTTCGTCATGGGCCTTCAAATATTCCTGTGCTTCACTCAATACATTTAAAAGTTTTATTACTTTTTCCCAATATTCTTTTTGTGATTCATTGATATATAGTGTTTCATATGCATATACGACAAGTAAACACGCATACCTAGCAGTTCGATAATTCATGGTTTCAATTGCCCCAGTTAGGGTTTTTTCAATAGTACATTGGTATGTTGTTGAATTATTAATGAAATTTTGAAGTGTTACATAATGTACTGAAGGATATAAAACTTTAACAAGATCTTCCTTGGCATATTTCCATAAAAACAAATTTGCGATTTTTTTTAGTTGGTTTATGGTTTTCTCATCATAAACTGTATCATTCACTAAATTCCCACTAATAGGGAGATTACTATTCTGTAAAAATAAATTTAAAATTATATAATATTGTACTATAATTATCTATCTATATTAATAACATATTTATTGCAGAAAACGTTCATTTGAGAGTGTAAAACTACAATAATATGATTTCATTAGTTTGTATAAAACACAATGTCATCGGATCTGTTTATTCCATATGTCACCAACTTAAATGGTCAATAGTGAGAATAGTATGGTCATGAAATATAAATGCAGTTTAAGGATAATCTTTTCGTAATAGTAAAAGTATAATAAATGAAAAATCAAATATTATTATATTGTAATATTTATAGACACAAACTTATATTACACATATATTAAATAAAAAAACCCAGCACAGTATGATCACTAGTAGTGGGAACACGACAGAGTTGTAACGAGTATAGAAAACATTTTATAGCGATTCCCATCATTATCATTAAATGCGCTTCGATGCGAATCGGATAAATTTCATAATTTGTATATTTGTAATTTTAAAACTTCAACGATTTAAAATTTCACTGGAATATTTGCTTTATTAAAAATAACATTTTTCGTTTATCAAAAATACGCCTTTCTTCGATTTCTCATAGTAAAACAATCGTCAAAAATCTTAGGGAATTTTTTTTTTCAATACAAATGTATCAAAATTTCCGGAATATTTTCAAAAGTGAAGTAAATATGTTCAACATTTAATACACGTGTTTCAAGTTTTGAACTCCTCCTTAATAAGGAAATAGATACAGATTATCAAAAAAGTAATGTCTGATGTATAAGATAAGTCGTTCGTTATAAAGAAAATTGTTTGAATTTAAATATTTTTCAAAAATTCAAATGTTAAAATTAATAATAAAAATATACACACATCATTTTTTTGAATACGTTAGCCATTTTTACTACGAAAACAAGTGCTGAGTTCCAAGTTTTTATTTCAAAATAATGTATAATATTACATTAGATTTAATTTAATATGCATATAAAGTTGTTAGTATTTCCGTTGAAAGTTAAGTTAAGTTGAATAATTTAATTTATTGTGCTCAATTTTCCAAATTCTAATAAACATTTTATTTAAAAAAAACTCATTTATATCAAGTTTTATGTATATTCCTATACTTTTCGCGATTAGTCCTGCATTATCTTTAAAATTAAATTTATTCACAAAATATTTATATTAAAAATCAAGTACACTCAATTATTTTTAATATAATGATCAACTTACATAGATTTTAACTACTTTGAAATGAATATTATAGTCTATGTTTTTGATAGATGTCTGCAATGTATTAATACCATTTTCTGCAGATAAAATGATTTCATAATTTGATAATTTTTCAAAGATAATACAATGAATGATACAGTTATAAGTTTCAACGGTTGATATTAAACAGAATTTATTCAATATGATCTATACTTACTGTCGTATGAGCAATATACATGTCTATTTCCGTGACTTAAAATAATGTTTTCTTTTTCAAAAGTCTTGAAAAAATAAATAACAGTAATTAAAAAAAAAAAAATTATATTATTTGGGAAAATCAAAGAAACATTGATTTTTTTTTTTTTTTTGAAATGACGATGGAAAATATTACAAAGATATGTAAAAAAATATTGTACTTATCATAAAAATGAATATATCTTAAAATGTAGACATTAATAATTAAAGAAACAGTAGCTCGATGGAATCATGGCATAGTGGGATAAGAATAAATGATATCTGACAATATTTAAAATCACTATGTAAATTTATCACTAAATATGTGGATAATCTTTAATTATAAGAAATTGGTTGATTATTTTTAAAGCTAAAATAACTCCTATTTCTATCATTATTCCTAATTAGTAGATGCTTTGAAAGTATAATTTATGAATAAATATCTATTAATGTAATTCAATGTAGTACAAAATTGATATTTAATAATTTAGTATAGTAATTTTTTCGGATATTTATAAAAAAAAAATAAAGCAGTTATTACTTTTATGGCAAACGTATATAAAAATTAAAGCACTTGACTCAGAAATGTTTAGATAATAATTTCTTGTTAACTATGAATAAATGGTCTGCAAAAAATTTTCTTCTGTGTCGAAAATATACTATAATTATTCAATTTTTCGTGCTAATTTCAAATCAGCAATTGTATTTTTTCTATCATCAATAATTTTTTATATTATTATTAATTAATTAAAGCCTATAGGAACTGTGTAACTATATAAATATAAGAAAAATAGTTCTGAATATTTCAATTGTAACATCTATTTAAAGACCAAGAGTTACATAGATATTATTAAAAATTCTTTTGATGATTTATTACGACAATAAAATAATTAAAAACACAAAATAATTGTTTTTTAATTGTTACAGATTTTGATTTTTAATATGTTAAACATAATCATTGCAAAATATAATTTTTAACCTATTTTTTTGGCCTTTCAAGTTAATTTTTTGAATGTTTATAATAACAAAAAGTTGAATTTGTTACAATAACTTTTAGCATAACGTTAAGTTTAAAATTTACATTATTAAATAGAAAATTTTATGATAATAAAAAAATAGTATTTTTAAGATTAATATATAGTGATTAAGATTACTATATAGTGTAAATTTATCAGAAAATCTCAATATCTTTTTTGCATTTTTATTGTAGTAGATCACTTAAATAGAAATCATAGTAATCATTTCTAAGTAATTTTTGGTGTTTAAAAAGATTCTACAATTGAAATATTTAGAACATAATTAATCTTAATGATTTAGTTTAACTAAAAAACCAATCAAAATGTTGTTGAAAATATCTATTCAATTGAGTGTAAATACAAAATTTTATTATAATTGTAAAATTTTTTTGTTAAATTCAGGCGAAACTAAAAATTATTTTTTTTTAGATTTATAGACTTTATGTTACCAAAAAATTTGGAATATTATAGACTTAGTAACACACACACAAATAAAGTTCAAAAATTAATATATTACGAAGTACAATTATTTAATTTTGTAGTTGAAACCTATCAAACCTAATTCGACAATAAATTATTTAAAAACATTACAAATTAATGATTTATATGAATTGTTTGTATGGGGAATGTGGGTTAAGTAACTTTCTAATTGATAAAATAGAATCTTTTTCAATTTATAAGGACAATATCTTTAACTAGATAATAGTTGTGATTATTTGATGTATCGTTAAAAAAAGTTGGTCAAGTGTGAGATTTAAATGAGAGCCATAATAAAAATCACATAGTAAAGAAACTTTAATATGAATAAGAAATTTCTTCGAACGAGCGGAGATTATAGTGACGGGGTCCTTGATTTAAGTTGTTGAATATAAATGAGATAAAAATCAAATAAGTAAAAATTATATTTCTAACTTAAAAACGTTGTAAGGTATTTTAAAATAAAAAAAAAACATAATAAAATCGAAAATTTTAACATAAAAATAGCATATGGTAGCCTTTTTCACCATCAAGTTGGAAATTTTTTTTTCCATATTAATGTACATTATATTAGCTTTAATTTAAGATACAAATAAAGTGTCAGTATTTCCGGAACACTTTCAAAAATTAAGTTGAAAAAGTTATTTTTGTGAAAAAATTGTCACTTTGATACCCTCCTCGTGGGCAGGTAATGGGTCAGATTTATAAAAAAGATATACAAAATGATAGGTGATTATTTCACGTACTTATAAAAGAAAAGTTACATGATGATATGGTGATGTACAGGGGTACAGGGGACTCGCAGGGCGAATTTACTACATTTGCTTACTAAGGTACACGCGAATCGATGGGGCGATTGTCTATATAAAAACTAACTATTATATATGTAAAGGCATTATAGAACACTTTGGCAAGGGCTAAAATGGTAACAGCGACACATACACTGCGACTCAAAGGATTTCCACATCGACCGCGTAATGAATCTCTCGCACAACAATCCTAAATAGAAAAAATANCTCGCACAACAATCCTAACAAAATATTTACACATACTGACGCAGATTTCATGAAAGGAAATACTGACCAAGAACTCTCGTTTTTAGTAAATAAATGCCTTTTTATAGTCTCCAAAAGTGGTTTTAAGATTTATGGTGAGATTCTTGAAATATGTTGAATTGGATTCGTTTGGTCAATGTGATTAAATGTTTCTAATGTCGGTGTTGTGGATTGCGTAAGAAGTTAGTTGATTGTTGTGTAAGAAAACGTATTATTTTGTTTTTGAAATATCTTATCCACAGGGGAATACTAATTTAGCGGTGTACTTTTATTAAGTATATATAAAAAGATAATTAGTTATTACATGAGTGACTACAGGGCTAGCTAATGGTTATTTGTCAATATCCGTGCTTGGGATTTAAAATTAAGTTGACACTATAGTAAAATATAAGAAATGAATACAAAACTTTTTCTTAATAAACAAATTGAATAAAATATGGAATTAAAAGTAAAATTATCAATAATGTATTAATCTTTTGATTAATTTAGTGATTACTGATGATACAAGGTGATATACGACTAACATTGTATTTATTTTAATAATATGTGATTTATAAATGTAAAAATGACGTATTTAAATATTCAATAAGACATACATACGATTATAAGATTTATTTTAGTTTTTGAATGACTAGTACTACTGTTATCATCCTATAAAAATAAAGTACAATACCAATACATTTTTAATTTTTCACTATAAATATTTAGAAAATTTTAATTATAACTATTATTATTGTCAAAAATATCTGCGAGCCAAATACATTCTCATTTTTTTATGTAACAAATAAAAAAAATTACCACCATCTCCCATAAAAAAAAAAATGAACCAATAACGAGTAAATTTTAATTTCTTGGGAAAGTTAATCTCTACCCACTCACACTGGGCACACTTATGATCAAGATACTTACATAACGCAAAAGAATTTCTGCAAAAATTTTTTTCTCATTCACAAAAGTCTAAAATAAAATCAAGTACAATTATTCAGTTTGGTGATAATAGAAACATTAAATCAACAGCACTACGTATATTTATGGCTTAATAAATAAGTCACAATAATAGTTTTTCAAAATTTTATAGAGGTAAAAGAAAAAACTTAAAATAAACTTCTAATAAAAATATAATAGATATACATAGTTATTTGGCTTTTATTATAGCAATAAATAGTATTATAACTTATAACAAAATCTAATAAGTCTCAACTTCTAAGAAATATCTAATTGTACTACAATATTAAAAGTTTCCCTGACCATTGTTTTATTATGAGAATCGTAAAAAATACTATTTATTATCAAAGTGAAAATGAAACGGTATTTTCAATAAAGCAATAATTTAATAAGCATTATATTCGAGTGTAAATCAAAGAAATTATAAAATTACAAATATATATATATACAGAGTGATTCATTAAGGATAAGACACTCGTTTACTCAGTAACTATTGAAAATTTTTAATTTTTGGTTCCCATTTATAAAAACTCGAGTTAATGGTTTTTAACCTAGAAGGGATGAAAAATATCATGTTTTTACTACATATTTTGTAGTGTTTTTTGAATCAAACAATATTTTCCTTACCAAAAATTAAAAATTTTCAATAGTTACTCAGTAAACGAGCGTCTTATCCTTAATGAATCACTCTGTATATATAAAAAGATAGCATAGTGTGGACATGGCATAATTTGCTGATTTCAACTAATTGATTCGCTTGATTACCCTAAACTAAATGTAAAGTATTGCAGTAAATGAGTAAAAAAATTAATATTCTTTATAAATTTCACTTAATATTACACTAATTAAAAACATATTTTTATTAAGAGTATGTGCTATATAATATATAATTATATAAAAAATCATAAATTTTATTTTAAATGTATTTGGTTTAGGGTTTTTGAAAAATTAGAAATGTTATATTGCTCACTTGCATTTATACCTTTTTGATAGTTAGCAATAAAAATAAAAACAATAATGCTATCAAATTTTACAATCATATTAAACTGGGTTATACGATATGGTCAAACTAAAAACTATTAGTTTGTTTCCCGTGTTTCTCATATTATATTACTTAGTATAATGCCTGCTTAAAATAAGTTCTCACCATTTCTAAAGCCTTGCACCTTACAAACTCCTAAAATAAATTAAAACATTTGTACGACAAAATAGTTTTATTTAACATTGTACAATGATATCACAATCTAAGTGATAACAATACGCCATAAAAACTTACTCTTAGGCCTAATATACAACTTGGAATGGTAATAAATTTAGCATCAAACACCTATAATATAATTAAATTTTTAAATTATTAACATTCAATAATTTAAAAATAGATTAATTTAATTAATTTATTGATGCTGCAACTTACATATCTACTACCGTATAAGGACTTGAATATATTTATTCTTCCTTTCTATATGAAAAAAAAAAACTTTTTAATTTGATAAATTATAATAACAGTAATTGTTATGTTTTATATTTCAAGATGTCACATGAAAATTATATTAAAAGCATCTTATCTAAATTATTAAATTAATCACTAATTATTAAACTTTATTTAAATTACATTGTTAATTAAAAGTATATTTCCAAAAAAAAAACTAAACAGAAAAATTAAAAAAACAGATTTTGTTTTATAAAACATTTTTTAAGAATATGATAATTTAATTATTATACCCTCTTAAATTTTAGAATATATTGTATTGATTTTATCATTTTTATGGATATTAAAGTAAATAAAATATTAAAAAACATAAATTAAAGTATTAAAAATATTGGAAAAATGTTTTTAATATTTTGNAAAACATAAATTAAAGTATTAAAAATATTGGAAAAATGTTTTTAATATTTTGTTAATAGCGTATTTACACATATTAGATGACAAAAATATACAAAGTATTTTATTATTTATACATGAAGTGTGAAAAAAATACTATTTACTTTTTCACTTTTAAATTTAAAAGACTGCCTAGTAGAATGAACACTTATGAATCGCAATAAAAAATTCTAATATTTTTCTCTTTAAGTGTTAATTTTTAGTGATTGGCATTTTCGAATATTTTAAACTATCGAATAACTATTCGAATAGTTTTTATACAACCGAATAGTTTATTTTTGGCATAAACTATTCGAATAGACTATCGAATAGTTTGTTGTGGTTGATGATTTTTACCGCACTCGCGTTAAAGTACTAAGGAAAAGAAACACAACACCTTTTTTTGGTTCCAAGTAATGTTGTAAGATTATTTGATGTTGAACAAAACTTTAGATTGCTCTATATAAAATGTATAACGGAAACAAAACACAGTAAGCAGTTTTGACGGAAGATATACACATGTGTGTACGCGGAGACAACATATCGTAACGGCGTGTTCGGCGCTGTGTTGCTGACGGCCAGCGATCCAATCTGTACGGTGTCGCGGAGATGACTTGACGTACATTTGCGGCGGGTCGTAGATGGACGTGCGGCACTTGCTGGACTTTGTACCGTGGCGTATGGCACGCGGTGTTAGTCAGTCAAACTACCATATGCACGCAGTAGGGCGACGGCTGATAAAGGTGTCACGGGGCTCCGTGTATAGAGAACGCCGCGGGACCGTGTCGAGTTTTAAAGACTATTCGAATATATTGTGTAACTATCGAATATTTTTTGAATGACTATCGAATAGTTCGATAGTTTCTATTCGATATTTCCCATCACTATTAATTTTATTATTATGCCAAATAAATAAGTATAGTTTTAGATATAGCTGTAATTAGTTTACAACTTAATAGGGAAATTTGTTAAACTTTGTTATTAATATTATTTCTTTTTTTTAGTAAAACTATAATATAGTTTTAAAAATGTATATGGGTTACCAATAAATCTTTAGGGTGTCTTTAATATGATTTTATAAATCACATTCAAATATTCTAATATTTTTCTCTGTAAACGTAAATTTTCATAATATACCAAATTCAGAACTATAGTCCTAATTATAGTTACAATTAGAGAACATCTTAACAGGGAATTATTTTACTTCTTTCTTTTAATAAAACTATAAAAAAATTTTAAAAACGCATATACATTACCAAAAATCTTTAGGGTGACTCGAAGAACAAAGGTATTCTTAAGATGTACATTTAGGTCATCTTTTAACCTAACCCAACCGGTAAAAAATTAAAAATAAATTGTTTTTCAATTTGCATACTCGTTTAAAAAAAAATCTATACATGTTCTTGACAGTTTAATCAGACTAAGTATTATAAATTTTATTTATTTTTAAAATGAATATAGATTTAGTTACTTAAAAGTTAAGAGCTAAAAATGTTTATAAACAGAATATTGTATTGTTTAAAAAAAAATTGAAAAGTATTGCATTATTATAATTTATTTAATGGGTATTATTAAAAAGCAAATTTACATGCATTTATCAAATTTTTTAAGTTTTACAAACATATCATCAGCCAGTATAAACCAGACCGTAGCATAGTAGAATTTAAATGTAAATGACCCACCTGATTTTTTCATATAGTACTATGTTCGACGTACTAAGTTTTTTCCATAACTCTAGGGAAAAAGGAATAAAAAAACTGTCAGACTAGTAGTATGGGCGATGACGATCTATTTTAATACAATTCAAACAACTAATAACAATTTAAATAAATTGAAAAATACATTGTTCAAAATAAAACCAAATTTACAAATTCTTATATTTTTAACACATTTCAAGTCGTGATTAACAATTATTACAGATTTTGAAATGACATAATGACAAATAAAATAAAATAGGCGTAAGTTTGGATAACCTTTGATATTGCTGCATTGACTGTGTTCTATTGGACCATGGAAAATTATTTGTATTTAATACTATTTAGTATAATAAAATGGTTATCATTGCAATAATGCTCAAACAGGCGACTTGACATCGGTCAATATGAATGTAGGTCTTTTATACCGAGCCTTAAGATTGCAAAGCACGTCTTCATTGATAAAATGTGAGGCTTACTACACTCGACATGACAAAATAGTTAACGTACTAATTTATGAAAAAATTTTTATTTTAAAATAAATAATTTACGAATATTCAATGAGCAAAAATAAGCAATGTGTCAGAATGATAAGGTAGAATAGAATAATTATATTAAAATAATTAAAGTATATTAATTCAATTAAAGTTCATGTTTCATAGAAAAACTCGTGGCAATGTACGTGTAAAAATGAATGGACTAAATAAAAGAAGATTATTGTACAGATTTAAAGTTTGATTAATTGCAAGTAGAAGATCGGTCGTCGAGATAATTTTTTTTTTTTTAATCTATAGTACATAACATAAACCTTCATTTGACATATGTTTAAAGGTCGCTGTTGAAAAATATTTCATATTCTGTTTCAATAAGTGTACAAATTTTAAACAATTTTTCATTTATATTATTTAGTGTAGTTGGTATTTCCTCAAACTTGTATGTCAAGACGTGTTCTTCGAGAGGTTTCGGAAATCCTTTAAATAATTTTTCTAATGCATATACTGGTAATATATGTGTATTCATTGTGTTACATTTTGAATGTCTGGTTTGTATTAAATCTTCGTCGTTTATTTCCTCAGATGTTAAAAGAATTTTGGTGAAATTTGTCACCATAACAGACAACATAAACAATGTATCATAGCTATTGGTTTTCAAACCCATTTTTCTAAATATATCTGATATATTTAAAAAAAAATATATATTTTTATTGTGCCGGGACAAATATAACTGTGCTGCGTTTAATATTTTTATAAACTTTAATACTTTGTCCCAACATAGTGTTTGACTAATATATAGTGCTTCATATGCATATACGACAAGCAAACACGCATACTTAGCAGTTCGATAGCTCATAATATCCAATGCCGTAGTTAGAGTTTCTTGAACAGTTTTTCGAAATGTCGTTGAATTATTAATGAAATTTTCAAGTGTTATATTAGGACATGAAGGATATAAAATTGAAACAAGATCCTCTTTGGCGTATTTCCATAAAAAAAAATTTTGGACCTTAAAAAGTTGATTTTTGATTTCTTCATCATAAACCGTAGTATTCTCTAATTTTTCATTAATATAAATATTACTGTCCTGTTAAAAATAAAATTACAAATTATATAAAATTTTACTATAATTATCTGTCAATATTAATCATTTATTTAACAGCAACAAGCGTTTAGTTGAGGTAACAAAAACTAAAATAATATTATTAACACAATATCATCGCATATATTTACCCACTTACTCTTAGCTGGGTCGAAAAAACTCAAGTTATGAATAAAGAGGCTAGTATGGTCATGAAATATGGTTGCAATTAAAGAATAACGTGTCAGCAGATGTATTATTAATTAAAAATAAAAATTTTCTAATTTTGTAATATTTATAAACTATAACATTAATTACACATTTATTAAATAAAAAAATCAGCATAGTGAGATCACTATTAGTGGGGATACGGAAGAGTTGGAACAAATATTGATAAAATTTTACAGCTATTAACATCATTATCATACAAACGATTCAATGCAAATCTGTTAAATTACATAATTTGTACATTTGTAATTCTAAAATTTCACTCGTATATTAAATTATTTGCTTTATTGAAAAAATAACGTCTTTCGTTTTTCCAAAATACGACTTTCTACGATTTCTCATAGTAGAGCAATCGTCAAGAAACATCAGGAAAATAAATTTTTTTTTAATACATAGGTATCAGAATTATAATAAAAGAATTAGTCGTAATAAAAAAATTGTATTAATTCAAACATTTATCAAAAAATCAAATATAAAATTAATAATTAACACATCCACACACCCATCTTGTTTTTAAATACGTTAGCCATTTTTAATACGAAAACAAGCACTGAAGTCAATTTTTTTATTTCAAAATAAATTATAAAATATATTATATTAGCTTTAATTTAAGATACATACAAAGTTATTAGTATTCTCTTAACATTTTTAAAAGTTAAGTTGAATAAGTTTTTTTTTTGCAAAATTTATTATGTTGAATCTCCTCTTTTTATTCGATTTTATAACGTATAAATTAAGTTAATTTAAATGTTATAATTCAAAAGCATTTTAAAAGTGAGTGTGATAATAGAAGGACGGAGTCCCCCTACTTATTTGGAGTACAATCTGGCTTCCCCTTTAAGTGGAATCCCAAAAATCCGGGGAGATGCTTTAATTTTGAGCACTGAAGAGTAGAAACCGTATTAGGAAGTTACTAATATTTTCCTTTATTCTTTTCTTCTTCTTCCTCACTTTAATCCCAACTACTTGGAATCGGCCACCTTTATCCTAAACTTCCACTTGACATGATCTCCCACATTATCTACGCTCACATCAGCTATCCTCAAATCGCATTTAATAGCATCCGTCCATCACTTTTTTGGTCTTCTTCTACCTCTTCTTCCTTCAACATTCATTTCTATNACGCTTTAATTTTGAGCACTGAAGAGTAGAAACCGTATTAGGAAGTTACTAATATTTTTCTTTATTCTTCTCTTCTTCTTCCTCACTTTAATCCCAACTACTTGGAATCGGCCACCTTTATCCTAAACTTCCATTTGACATGATCTCCCTATTATCTACGCTCACATCAGCTGTCCTCAAATCGCATTTAATAGCATCCGTCCATCACTTTTTTGGTCTTCTTCTACCTCTTCTTCCTTCAACATTCATTTCTATAACTGTTCTTACAGCTTCCGATTCTTCTTCCTCATAACATGACCAAACCAACTAAGTCTATTTTCTCTCATCTTATCCTCGACTGACGCTACACCTATACTCCCTCTTATATACTCGTTCCTTATTCTATCATCTCTAGTCACTCCACTCATCCATCTAAGCATTCTCATCACTGCTACACTCATTCTCTACTCTACTTACTTATCAACCGCCCAACACTCTGAACCATAAAATATAGCTGGCCTTATTACAGTCTCACTAATCTATTCCTTTAATGAGATAATTTTTTTTAAGTAAGTATGTTTGCTTATTATAATCAATACCATTTTTAGCCTTTGATAGGAGAAAATTCGATGTGATTCGGGAATTTTTTAAGAACTATAGTCCCCTCTCGTAGTTTTTCCAACTTAAACCACTGAGTTCACGCAAATATTTTAATCATAATAATATACTTACATAAATTTTAACTACTTTGAAATAAATGTTTTTGTTGACTTTATTAAAAAATGTCTGCAGACCATAAAAACCATATGCTGTAAATAAAATGATTTCATAATTTCATAATTTTTTCAAAAATATTACAATCATGATATTTACCATCGTATGAGAACTTATGTTTTTTTTTGTAACTTAAAATAATGTTTTCTTTACCAAAAGTCTTAAAAATACAAATAACAATGATTAAAAGATAATATTTTATAATATATGGAAAGGTCAGGCAAAATTGTGTTTATTTTTTCGAAAAGAATATTTAATGAAATTTTAGACAACAAAATAAACGATTTTAATTTTCCAATATTTTTTCTGTGTTTGTCTTTTTTGGGCTCTGTTGAAAAACCATAGTAATTATACATGTGTTTAAATATTGTGATATTATCGACATTGATATTATATTGAAAAATTTTGATTTTATTGAAATCGGTTTAAATAGGCTTGTCAAAAATTTAATTTTAAGTTTAATTTGAATTTTACATAGACTAATCATATCTGTTTCAATGTTAATTCTGAATCGTCTATTTTGAATATGACGTGAATTTTTTGAAAAAACATATTATCAATACATTAAAACTCAAAATGTGGTTTTTTGGTATAAACAATTAAAAGTCGTCTATTTAATTAAAAACATTAAACTATGGAAATCATAAATTAATAATAGACACTGTGTTGCACAAGCACTGACAGTTCTACCACAGCAGCGAATACTAGTACTGGACCAATACTGGCATGTCAAAGATTTGATAAAGTTTACCGATGTCGGTTGGCAATGAGCGGTCATCTGGGGATGGGCAACGAATAGTTTTACTGCCATATTGAAACGCCAGTGTTCTGCCAGCAATGGCAGCCAATTATTGATCACTAATAGTAGGACAGTATTTAGACAAGACGTCAGCCAATACTATACTAGTGTGGATTCTAATAAACAAAAAATATAGTGGGGTATAATTTTAAAATGGCTGTCGTTGGTAGAGGTCTAATAACGGTCTAACTATCGGTCTCGTCAACACAGTGGTAAGTTGGGTTACTAACAATAATAATATTGAAGTAAAAGGATCGCGGGTTATGTGTGCTTACAGAAGCTGGTCTGATATATGTTAACATAGCAAAAAATTTTAATAACATTTAATATGGCTCCTATATAAAAATATTATACACATAAATCAGAATAAAGATTTGATATAAAGTTGCAAACACGAACGAACGCTAAAATTTTAAATAATATTAATTTCTTATGGAAATATTTAAATAAAAATGAATTGAAAAAAACTTATTTTGGGTAAAAATATGATAAATCATCTAGAAACAATGATCACTACACCCAGAGAAAAACCTCGATCTATATAATAAATTCATTGTTCAATTTGATAAATATATCATTACTATTGAATCAATGATATCTTTATCAATATGATATTTTTTTTTCTTGTCTTGAACAATAATTATTTATAAGAATAGTTATTTTGTTCGTATTAATAAAACATTATCATAAACCCTTGATAAAATTTCACTTTCAATTTTGATTGAGGTTTTTCTTTGGGTGTAGATGAAATAATATGTGTAAAAACAAAGTCCTAAGAAAAAAATATTTACATAACTGACGCACATTTCATATGTGAAAATATTAACTAAATACATAATATTTTTTCTGTAATATATAAAAATTATCTGTATAAGTGATTTAGCGATCTCTGGTGATATTCTTATGATATGTTTAATTGGATTTTAATTTTCAATGCAATTGAATTTTTTTAGTGACGGTGTTATGGATTGTGTAAGAAGTTAGTTGATTATTGTGTAAGAAAACGTATTATTTTGTTTTTGAAATTTCTATTCCACTGAGGAATACTATATTAGGGTTATATTTTTATTAAGTATAAATAGAAAGTTTATTAGTTATAAAATATATGACTACATGGCTAGCTAATAGATATTTGTCAATACCGTTGCTTGACAACAATTTTTGCTTGGAATTTAAAATTATTTGTTAAAATAAAGTTGATACCATTAAAAAGTATAAGATATGAATATAAAACTTTTCAAAAATAAACAAATGGAATAAAATATGGATTAAAATTATTTTAAGCAAAATTCTCAATAATATATTTATTTATGATTAATTAAATGATTACTGATAAACAAATAACCTTTTTAGTTTTTTATTATACGTGATTTTTAGATGTTAAAAATGTTGTGTTTAAATTTATAATGAAAGATACATACAATATTAATATGTATTGTGTTTTTTTGTTTACTCGTACTACTGTCGTCATCCTATAAAAATAAAATAAAATACTTATACATTTTTTACTAAAAATAAATATATTTAGAGTATTTTATTTATTATTATTATTAAAGATAGCTGCTAGCTATAGAAATTTTCATGTTTTTTTTTAATTATTACCCACCTCTCCCTTCAAAAAAAAAAAAAATTAACTCGTAACAAGTAGATTTCAGATTTTTAGAAGGATTGATCTCTACCCTCTCACATGGAGTACACTTATTATCAAGATACTTACATAACGCAAACCAATTTCTGCAAAAATTCTTCTCTCATTTACAAAAGTCTGAAATAAAATCCAGTACAATTATTCAGTTTGGTAATAATCAGAAATTTTATTTTGGTGGCACTACATAAATCTATGGCTTATAATAAAAGCTCATAAGTCAAAAAATAGATAATATAATTACTTATGACAAAGTCTCATAAGTTTCAACTTCTAACTATAATATTGTATTATTACTTATAATATTAATATATGATAATATGATCTTATCATTTTTACATGTATGTCAACATATTATGATAATACAAAATTACTAATACTTGGTTCTCTTATTTAAAATACAAAATAACCAGTTAATTATGGGAAAAAATCTACTTATTGTAGAGTTTATTAAGTATCGCCTACACACAGGGCCCACATTATAATTAACCAATAAAAATTGAAAGTCCCTGCTTCCAAGATCACGCTAAGGATTGCTAGATTACCCCTTCTGAAAATAAAAAGCCATTTTTCAACGTCAATATCAGTTCTTTCAGTAATTTTAAAATACACAAAATCTACAACACTCTACTCAATATTTCACTCTCCGAGACTTGGTCGTTTATTTTAATTAATTTGGATTTAAATTATTTTTCTTTAAAACTAAATGATACATAGAAATTTCAAAGTGAATTTTTAATTTTTGTTAATTTATTCATTAAATAATAATGTTTTATTTTTCTTATTGTGAAAATAAATATCAAATAATATTTTAAAAAATTAAACTTTTTTTTAATTATTTTATTTTAATAAAAAATCCAACCCAACTTTAAATTTTTATGTAATAGTAAAAATTTTTTGTGAGCTTTTCTTATTGAGTAGCTAGAATTAGATTTTAATGTCTTTGTTTTAGCGAACATGCCGCCGATTTCTGACGATTTCTTTAATCGTAAAAAATAGTATTTATTGTCAAAGCAAAAATAAAACTATATTTTAAATAAAACAAATAATTTAAAAAGCATTTGATATTCGAGTGTAAATCATAGAAGTTATAAAATTACAAATTGGAAATACAACAGATATGCATCGAACAACTTTATGATTTTTACCACTGTCTAATATCATCTATACCATATTGCAATCTCACAGTGTTAAGCTACAAAATTTTTATTTATTGTAAGATAAAGGATCGTAGATTGTTTTTGGGAACAAATTACTTTATTTTCTTGATCAGTCTCCAATTTGTGTTATAAAAATTACTTGGAGTCGCTCAATCCGGAATCAAGAACATTTACAGATTAATAATACAATATTTACTAAAACTACATTAATAATAATTATCAGAAATAATTATTTTTTAACAAACTGTATATTGTTCAAACGTTATGTAAATCAATGTTTTATTAGATATGACAATAATCGTTTCATTAATTCGCTTGATTTCCCCAAACCAAATACACTGTATTGCCCAAAATGGGTTAAAAATAATTTCTTTTTAAAATTCCACGTATTATTACACTAATTAAGAACATATTTTAATTAAGAGTATTTACTATGTAATATATAATTATATAAAAAAATAAATTTTATTTTAATTGTATTGTTGGCTTAAGGTTATTTAAAAAATTAGATATTTTATATTGCTCACTTTCATTTATACTTTTTTGGTAGTTAACAATAAAACAATATCAATAATGTTATCAAATTTTATGATCATGTTAAACTGAGTTATACGATATAGTTAAACTAGAATCTGTATAAGTAAAAAATTCTAGTTTATGAGAGTGTCATTCTCCCATTTTCCCTTATTATTTTTAACTCGGTTATAATGCCTGCTTAAAATAACTTCTTACCATTTTTAAATTCTTACACTCAACATATTTCTAAAATAAATAAAAAAAAATTTTGCAACAAAGTATATTTGATAAACATTGCAAAATAATAACACAATCTAAGTGATAACTATATATGATAAAAACTTACTTTTAAACTATTTAAACAGTTTGGTTCATAAATCGAATGAGCATTTGAATTCTATAATATAATTCATGAATGTTAATAATTTATAATAGATTAATTTATAAAATTGTTGATGATGCAACTTACATTATTATTATTTATAGGCGAACTAATAATTATTCCTCCTTCCTATATAAAAAAAAGATACTTTTAAATTTGGTAAATTATATTAACAGTAATTGTTATGTTTTATATTTCAAAATGCCACGTGAAAATTATATTAAAAGCACCTTAACTAAATTATTAAATTAATTATTAATTAATAAACTTTGTTTAAATTACATGGTCAATTAAAATTATATTTCCATTAACATTTCCAAAAAAAAAACCATACGCAAAAATTAAAAAAACAAAATTTGTTTTATAATTCATTTTTTAAGAATATTATAATCTAATTATTTTACCGACTTAAATTTTAGAATATATTGTAATAAACTTCTATTTTTATAGGTATTAAAGTAAATAAAATATTAAAAAACATAAATTAAAGGAAAACAACATTATTTTATTATTCATGTATGAAGTGTGAAAAAATGCTATTTACTTTTACGCTTTTAAATTTAAAAAACAACCAAAACGAATGGACTTAAATAAATCACAAAAAATATTCTAATATATTTTTCTGTAAATGTAAGATTTTATAATATGCGAAATTAATAACTAATTATATTACAATTATAATAACAAGTGTTATTGTAGATCTAAAAATTGAAATTTTGAGGTACGGTTTTCACTAGTATATACAGTACTATACATTGAATAACGCCGACATAAAAAAAAGATAAGAGCTTCACGCTGCTTGAAATACAGAATGTTCAGTAAGTCAGGAAACGGGTATCTATTGTTCTCATTGTTACAAACAATGAGAACAATAGAAACCCGTTTCCTGACTTACTGAACACTCTGTATAATCGATTGAAAAATAATGTAGAAATGACGCCAATTGGCGTCAATCGCATACTACGAACGAGCCAAATGGCGTCATCCGCAATAAACGTGTTAAAGTTGCATTCTCACCACCAGCACCCACGAGCCACCACTGGGTGTACTCCTATAGAGGATAAAGGACGAACCATAACTGCAAATGGTAAGGGTTTAAATTTACCTCTTCCCTTCAACCTTGGTGAATATGTGAGTATATTCGATGTTATGTATAGAACCTTCCTTTACTTCCAGGAAGGAAAAAAAAACTTTTAGGAAAATGAAAAGTTTTTATTAATTTATCGATAGTTTAAATATCTGTACTTAAGGTGTTTCTGAAATGAAATTTGATGCGTAACTGTAAAATGAAAATTGACATATTGACTGTTTATTACCCTTTTAAGGGTAATCAAACAATTTTTATTTAAACATTTCAAAGTTCAACATTTTATTCAAAACCATATGTAAATACTTTAAATATTATAATATAATATTTAACGTATTTTATATAATAACTAAGACCCATTTTTATTCAAACCTCTAATGTTTTAAATTTCTTATCGTAAATTACTTCTGAAAGACAGATAACTTGGTATTTAATATTACCAAATTTGAATTTAAATAAAACTAATAGATTACTATAAACTACTTCAAACTTTCAGTGTTACATTAACGTCAAGTAAACAATTTTTCCGGAGTAGAAGTGATAACAATTTAAAATCTCAATTAAGTTATGAAGTGATTGATTTATGGTGGACTACCAAAATTTCTCCTAAAATTTTAATAAAAAAAAAAATTTTAATGTTATCTTGTTTATTATAAGGATGTCAACTTTTTTTTTAATTACAACATACATATACAGGGTGTTCAGTAAGTCAGGAAACGGGTATCTATTGTTCTCATTGTTTGTAAAAATTGACCTGTTTTTTTACTTAACAATTATATATCTAGTTTTATAATAGAAAATTATCAACTAAGAAAATGGACCTGTCATTTTCTTAGATAAAGCAGTAAAATATGAACATGACGATTAAAAAAAATAAAGTTGGTACTCTAATAAAAGCTAATGCTAACTTAAAAAACGTTTATATACTTAAAATCAAGAAATAAATAATAATTAAAAAAAAATAAAAATTTACTCGAATTATTACTATTTTAGGCGAATCTAGTAATCAACGATAAATCAATCGTCCTATATACTTTTATACTAAGAGAATATTAATTATTCAGAATTTTTATCTGGATACATATTAAATAATTTTAATAATTATTAAATTTCGTCTATGAGTGTTAAGATGAGATCGACTTACATGACGGATATAACAAAATAACGATAGCTGTTTAAAATTAGTTTAACACAAACTGTATCAGCAATTTTTACAGAAAACAGTAATAATTAAAAAAAAAAAAATTAACTTCAGTAGGAGACTGCAGCCCCCCTAACCCCTCTAGCTACATTACAGCAGAATTTACATAAGTATATTTCCTACTAAAGAAAATTTCCATCAGAAAAGTGCAATTGAACTTCTCTGTGAAAGATTTCTTAAAGAATATAATTGAATATTTTGTAAAATATTGAGTAGTTGGTTCAAAACAATTTTCATAGAAACTATACATGTATATATTTCATATGTATATATATTTACTAACGACGTATATTTCGATTAAAACCTTAACAATTTTCTTTCAAACAAACTGCTACATTTAGATTCAAACTTTTTTGTAAGTTGATAAAATGTCTACTAATAAAAAATCTACCGTAAGTATATTACAATTGTATTTTATATAGTTTTATCGGTTCCATTTGAAATAATATAATTTGAATAGTTTTTAATGTTACATAATGTAACTAAATCGTTAAATTTAATTATTACCATTCTTGCACAATTTACTTCTAATTTAAGAATAGATTTTATTTATATAAGCGAGTTTTAAATGCTGTTATGACGAAAACTTGAAAGCATTTCTTTATAAATTAATAAAATTACTTTCGTTTATAAAAGATAATCTTTTTTTTCTAAATTCTATTTTTTTTTTTTGTTATATATTTAACATTTAAAACTAAATTTATACTTAAGTTATTTAATTACTTCTATTTTAGACGCCTAACTTTTTACATTCAGCGATTAGAAAAGTAAAGAAAAGACTTGGCTTCAAATCAAAAAAAAAGGGTAATACATGTATTTTAACTTTTAGAAAATTGACACATACCTCGTTATAGGAGATATTAAAATGTACATATAAAGTTCAATAACGGTAGTCAACACGCATTTGATATAATTTATGGACCGTTTATTGAAATGAAAATAATTTAATCTATGAAATTGATACATTCACTAACATTATTATTAAAGATGTGCAGAGTACCCGGCCTTCTTTTTTAGAACTTTGTTTTTACCTGGTACTTAGGTTGTAAGCATTTTTTACTTAATTTTTTAATCGGTATTGGATATTTTTCCTAAATATACCTAAAAAAATTAGTATGTTATACAGGAATATTTTTAATTATAGTTTGTTGTTTTTCATTATTATCAAAAATAAACAACTTTTTCGAATACCTAGGAATATTTTTTTGAGTTATTATATTAAATATAAAAATGATTTTATATTTTATTTATTAAATAAAACACATTGTTCAGCCCAAAATAATTAAAATTGGTGCCCAAACATTATTAATACTCACATTTTGCATTTAAAATTTTCTCTTTTTTTTTTGCAAAGTATTCCTAAATATTATAAACCGTACAAAAACTCGAATACTTATTGAAAAATATAAATTATACATTAAAATTTTGGTATTTAGAATAAAAATACATCCGTTAAAATTTTATAACATTGAATACTATTATTATATAATTCCATAATTTAGCTTTATTAATAATATTATTTAGATTACTTAAAAATAATGGTAGTATTATGGTTATTGTTATCTACAATCGTTTAAGTTTCAACTATTGAGTAGATTAAAATGTTAGTTATTTTAACTCCCAGGAATCACAAATATTATTTATGATATAACCCTACGCCAATAATTTGGTTTTGATTTAAATGAGGAGGGAATGTTAGAATTTTAATATTTTTAACCTCTTTATATCATTAATACTGATCATTTGGCTATCCGGATTTTACTCAATAGTCGATCTGTACATATTTTTTTACTTTACTTACGCAGTACCCTCTCAAGTCGTAATAAAAATATTTTTACAACATAACAATTTTTAAAAATAAACATTTTTAAAAATGCTATCAGACTGTTAGTACATGTATTTACTAAACAAAACATTTCTAATTATTAACGAGAGATAGGACATGTAAGGGAGATCTATAAATCACAGATATAAAATTTAATGATATATAAATCACAGCAAACATAACGTTTACCGAGATAATAATTATTTTATAGTAAATTTAGCTAATCGTACCACCGACACTGCTGTGAACTCAACCGAAAATGAATCACAAGCAATATATACTGAAGTAATTAATGCTCCTCATCCCTCTACAATCCAAGAACCAAACACAAACCCATTACTGTTGCAAGGTATTTATTATAATAAAAATATAATATTTTATTATTTTTTAATCAACGTTTTGTATTGATTTTCTCACTTCAATTTATACTAATCAATTTTTATAAGATTTGCCACATCGATCCTCGGGTAAGAACATTGAGGTTAACTCAGCTAAATACGAATCACAAGAAAAATATGTAGAAATGGCTAATGCTCCCATTCGCTCGACAATCCAAGAAAATCCATTATTGTTGAAAGGTATTTATTGTAATAAAAATATAATATTTTATTATATTTTAATCAACGATTTATGTTGATTTTTTCATTTCAATTTATACTAATCAATTTTTATAAGATTTGCCACATCGATCCTTGGGTAAGAATAATGAGGTGAATTCAGCTAAATATGAATCACAAGATAAATATGTTGAAATGGCTAATGCTCCTATTCGCTCGACAATCCAACAAAACCCATTATTGTTGAAAGGTATTTATTGTAATAAAAATATAATATTTTATTATATTTTAATCAACGATTTATGTTGATTTTTTCATTTCAATTTATACTAATCAATTTTTATAAGATTTGCCACATCGATCCTTGGGTAAGAATAATGAGGTGAATTCAGCTAAATATGAATCACAAGATAAATATGTTGAAATGGCTAATGCTCCTATTCGCTCGACAATCCAACAAAACCCATTATTGTTGAAAGGTATTTATTGTAATAAAAATATAATATTTTATTATATTTTAATCAACGATTTATGTTGATTTTTTCATTTCAATTTATACTAATAAATTTGTATAAGATTTACCACATCGATCCTTGGGTAAGAACATTGAGGTTAACTCAGCTAAATATGAATCACAAGATAAATATGTTGAAATGGCTAATGCTGCTCATTCTCCAATTCACCAAGGAGAGTTATCATTCTTGAAAGGTATTTATTTTATTGAAAGTATAACATTTGATGTTTTTTATTTAACATTACATGTTGATGATTTTTTCACTTAAATTTAACTTAATAAATTTTTTGTGGTGATTGAAGTGATCTCGGCGGAAATGTTTAGGGTCTTAGAAAAACATGTTGAAATTGAAGGTTAATTTATTAAGGATTAAAAAATAATCAGTTTTATATCCTTCTATTTCCCGAACTTAACATGCTATAGTGTTGTGATTCTCTTTCACATATTAAGGAGTCAAAGATCATTCTTGGCAAGGCCAAAGGTATACGGTCAAGTATTATAGCCGGCTTGCACCTGAGACCAGACACCTCCCCTGAGAAGATCAAAAGCGAATCTCATTTGTTACTCTGGGGATCGAACCCTAGAGTCCGTGTATTGATGTATACGTTTCTATCTACTAGGCCGACGGATCCTGAAATATTTTCTCGATATTAAACAACAATTTTTCAATTTACATTTTTACGCTAATTTAAACATTTTTATATAATCAGTTAAATAATTACATTTTTTTTATAATATTATTTAATATTAACTCTAGATATACATCAAGAGTGGTATTTATGCTGCTCAAAAGAAGTCGACGAATGTTGCTGCATGAATAATTTAAGAAAATCATATGTTAATGAACTTCATATTAAACAAATTATTTTAAATTTAGAATTTAACAAAGGTATTATAAAAAAACTTTACTGAACTCTCAACAAATTTAATCAAATTTTTATCCTATTAATTATACTCTTTGGTAGAAAAAACTGCATCAATATTAGTCCGTGCATGTCAGCTCCTTGAAAAAGTTGTGAAATTACAATCAATTTTCAAATTGCATAACATACCTAAAGAAATAACAGAATTGAGCGTAAACAGCTGTTTAAAAATAACAAGACAACTTATAAAAGCTTCTACTCGTGGTTGTATGGAGAATTGCTATTCATCGTCGGGAGTTCTGAAAAATTTGGAAATTTTATATCATGAAGCTTTGATAAAAATCGAAGACCTCATGATCTTAGTTGATAAAATTTTTATAAACCAAAAGGCACAGGATTAATATAAATCACGATTTTTCAGTAATGTTAAAAAAAAATAAGCTACTTAAGCAGTTGAATTTCTATGTCATCTTTTTAGTGTTATTTACATATTTTTTTTACAACTAAATTATAATTCAAAAATTGATCATCATTACTAATATAATAATTATTTTTCTTATAAATGATGTTACGCAAAAAATATATATTTTTTGTATTATTTTACCAATAATTTGAAATAACATCCAAAACCTAATTAATGTTCAAAGTATTATATAAAACAAGAGAATTTATATCTCTATCAAAAAATAGTATTAAAATTTAATTACTAAGCAACATTATAAAACAATTAATATCAAATGAATTTTATATTTAATACAGTTAGTATACTAAATATGAAATACATGAACTAGTAACAAAATGTTTTCATAAACACTTATCGTTATCAATACAATAATTCTATAATGATAAATCGTCGAAACAAGAATGATGTTTATTAAATTTTCATTTTTTATGTTCATTATAAATTTTAGTCTTATAATAAAATAATTGACATAGTAAATCTACTCAATTTTTTTTATTTATTAAGCTCTTTTTATTTGCTATCTTTATTAATTTTAATTTAAAAAGTATATTTTTTGAATAAAATTAAAAATGTTTACACAAGCGTGATATAAAAAATTGAACACGCGCAGGAGAAAGTAATTTATATGTTTTAAATATCACGTCATATATATATGCAAAATATGTTTATAACTCGTCATATGTGTAACAACTATTTTTTTTGTATTGAACTTTATAATAATAAGACGACAATTGTGTTATTGTAGTATCCTTGCACCTCGTAATTAACCTTTTGAAAATTTTCCTTAAGTTTTTAGTGAAAATTATTTATGTATTTGTATATNTAAATTTTGGTCTTATAATAAAATAATTGACATAGTAAATCTACTCAATTTTTTTATTTAAAAAGCTCTTTTTATTTGCTATTTTTATTAATTTTAATTTAAAAAGTATATTTTTTGAATAAAATTAAAAATTTTTAAACAAGGGTGATATAAAAAATTAAACACGCGCAGAAGAAAGTAATTTATATGATTTAAATATTACGTCATATATATATGCAAAATATGTTTATAACTCGTCATATGTGTAACAACTATTTTTTTTGTATTGAACTTTATAATAATAAGACGACAATCGTGTTATTGTAGTATCCTTGCACCTCGTAATTAACCTTTTGAAAATTTTCCTTAAGTTTTTAGTGAAAATTATTTATGTATTTGTATATAAGAAAATATAAGAAAACACATGTCAGGTGATCACAGTGTCGTAGAGACATAATAAATACATCAAATTAAACATGACAAAGTTATCTAACTTCTTTAAGTTATCTAACTGTNTATAACTGTTAAATTCTGCACAGGGATGATTTTTGGCTAATCAATTTTCAACAAAGGCATAACAGTTAATAAGAAAAAACACTAATAGCCCTACTGGTGTTGACATTGTACATTACACACCTGCAAAATTGTGTGCGCAATTATTCGACACTGAAATTCTTAAGCGGTTTATTTATCAATTGTATAGTTTTAACTAAATTAAAATTTTATCATGCCACTGCATCTAAATGATGACTGGACTAAGTAACGATAGTAAAAAACCAAGTATACTATACATTAGTGTCGACTTAAATTTTGATAACAGTCTACTTTCATTCTTTTCGAATTCTTCATTTAACACTATCACAGGTAAGTATGCCCAAGAACGCGTACCATCACAGAACCATTCGAATGGTGTAACAGTTTGAAAAAACTTACACCTCTGAACAACAACAGATTACTTAAAATACGAAAACACGAACGTAATAAATAGAAACCTTTCAATAATATCGCGGCACTGTCACAGGAGTCGGCGGCACGGTGACCGACTCGATCATAGGACGTCAAAAGTTGGACACACTGATGGTGACGGTGCGCTGGTGCGGTATCAGTTCGCCGTGTCCGGTCGTACGGTACGTTCGGAGCTGATCCTCGAAGACTTGAAGAAGACTAACGTATGCTTACGGCGGGTCGTCGTCGGGCGTACGGCATTTGCTGGACTTTGTACCGTGGCGTATGACGTGCGGTGTTGGTCAGTCAAACTATCACTTACACGGACTATCTAAGGTTGGTATTCAGTGTATCAAGAAGCGACGCTAGACCGTGTAAAGATCTTAACGTAACGCCTATCCGCTGGGTTCCTATCATAATTAGGCAATCGCGGTTACAATTCTTAGCTCCCAGAGTTATGTTAGAGATAACTGAACACGCTAAGTTTACTGTAAAATGCAATTTTTATTAACGAAAAATACTAGTATTTTACTAAAATACTAGTTCCGTCATTAGATTAAGAAAAATAACTGGTTGTTTACAACTTTTGGACTAGTAATTTATAATTTTTTAATATATTTAACCTCCAGGCAAATACATTAAATTTTTATTAACTTGTAAAATATTGGTCCAAAAGTTGTTATCGAACAGTCATTTTCTTAATTAGATCGCAATTTATCTCATAAATAAATAAGTTAATTAATGAAAAATTAAGTAGACACCCTTATAAGGTGTAAGGAATATTAAAAATACTTCATGATCGATTAATTGAGAAAGTATAATACTAAACATAAAATATATAAACATTATTTTTACGTTTCAAATAAATAGGTGGATTATGATAAAAGAATCACTCCATATCTTTCAATGTAATTATGAAAAATAAAAAATATTTATTATTTATTAAAAATTTATGATTTTCAATTAATTTTTTTTATATAAATCCACCAAATTACTTTCATAAATTTTTATTAAATTGAACAATATGTTCTTGGCTTATTTTAAAATAATAAATTATACAATCTTTAGTAAGAATTCAATTAATTTTTTTAGAATATTAGATAAGACATTATTAAAAATCAAAATTTTATTTCTAAAATATGTGTGTACTCTACTTTAATTAAGCTAATAATTTTTTGAAATTTTTCCTCTATATCACTTATATTTGTTGGAATGTCATAAAATTCCTCGTCTTTGTGAGGTTTGGGAAATCCATTTAATATTTTTTTTAATAGATATTGTGGTAATATATCTTGTTCATTGATATTAGATGGTGTAAAGTTGTTTTCATTTAAATCATTCGAGTAGGTATTTTTTTCTTCGGGCGATAATAATAATTGCACGTATTCACATACCATGGATTTTAACTTATTCATTTCTTTATATACAATCTCTTCAGGGTTAAGTTTATAAAATTTTTTTCGTATGACATTGTTGTCTGTCATTGTTATCAGCGCGTCACTTAACTTATTTAAATTTTCTTTTATTTGGTCCCAATATGGGTCCATAGACTTTCTAATTCTTATTGCCTCAAAGGCATAAGAAATTAGTAAAATTGCATACTTAATAGTTCGTAATTCAATGATTTTTATTGCTCTCGTAATAACAAATTCAATACTTCTCTTGTATATTGTTGAATTATTAATGAAATTATTAAGTGTTGTAAGAGGTAGTGTAGAATCATACGATTGAACAAGATCCTCTTTAGCATATTTCCATAACGACAAGTTCTGGATTGTATATAAATGATTTTTGGTTTCTACATCATAGACCGTATCATTACATATGGGTGTGTTATTATCCAGATTACTGTTCTGTAAAAAATTAATTCAAATTTTTTATAAAATTGTACATTAGCTGTATTAAATTGTTTTATTACTATAATTACATTAAATAATAAAACCTAATACAGTCAGTACCCCACATAATGAATATAAGAATAGATAAAAATCTTATACTAATATATATATATATATATATCACTATCATATTACGCTCGGATAAAAGTGTGCACTGAGAAAAATTTTGGATTAAAATTAAAAAATTTCTAATTTTGACTTAGGCATAAAAAAGAGATCTGGTAAAGATATTTTTCCTATAGTTTTCAAGTACATTGATAAAATGTAATAAAATTTGTTGTTTAATTACAAAACAGAAAAATGTTTTTTGATTTTCTAAAAAAAATAATTGCTTTATGCTTATAACAGTAATATTATACAGTAAACCGAATGCGAAAACAATTTCTAGCGATTGTAAATTAAACGTTATTATATATGTTAATGATTAGTACAGGTTAAAGCTAAAATATAAATTAATAGTCACAATTGTTATTAAAATATTACGTATTTGCATACTTTTTAACTTTATATTTAAGTAATAAAAGAATAAGTAATAAAAAGAATAAACACAGCCAGTGGTGGAACTACGTTTACTGAGGCCCGTGAATACAATTTTTCGGAGGCTTTATTATATCTGTAACCAAATTCAGCTGACATAAGGATTTTAGTTTATACACATTTAAAAATGTGTATATAATTATGTATACTGTATAGTTTATTAAGAACTTATTGAATTATAAATTGAATTAAAAAATTACAAATATGAATATACTTATACTTGAAAACTTTTTTTTCTGCTACGATCTTGAGAAAATAACTTAACTAATGACGACAAATTCAATTTTTTAGCCCGTTCATTTTCAATTGAAATCATTGCAAGGCCACTGAGCCGTGTTTGGCACATGGTGCTCCTGAGATAATTCTTTATTAATTTAAGTTTTGAGAATGTCCTCTCTGCGCTTGCCACAGTAACCGGTAATGTAAGGAACAAATAAAATGCTGTTAACAAATCTGGGAAACTAGCAATTAAATTATTATTATCAATTATTAGTAATTTAGTCATATCAAAAACGCTGCGACAAGATTTAAGCTCAGAAGCAAACAGAAATTTAAATGATTCGATTTGTGTTGTAAGTTCTGCTGGATTAAAGTCCTCAAATGCCTCTGCCAACTTTTTTGCACTCTTACCGATCTCTTCATCAGATATTACAGTTGGTCGTAAAATACAACTAAATAAATCATTTATTTCACTAAGGCCTACAAATCTTGTTTTCAATTGTGTAACAACAGTATCAATACATCGATATAAAACTTGAGTTTTAAAATAATGGTTTCCTTCTGAAAGACGTTTATCTTGACATAGCTCACCATAAAATTTTTTTACTTTTCTCGTTCGTATGCAAGAAAACTCGGGCGTTACATTCCATTGTAATGCTTTAGAATTAGCTTCTTCTATTAAAATGTTAAAGTTATCGCGAATTTTCCCCATATTTTCCAATGTGCTTTTTATCAAATCAACAGCTTTGCCAATATCAGCTCCAGGCGATTGAAGTATTTTAGATGCTAAATTAATTTTTGACAATATTTTATACATCAATAGAATTAAAATAATTGTTTCATAACTTTCGAAATATTTTTTGAGTGTGGAGGCATTGTTTTGTTCATCCTTATTACGCCCGGTCAACGTAATGTTGTTTAAAACTTTCATAACATCTGGGTACATATGGTTGAGTGATATCAAACAATCAGTTCTAGACGACCATCGTGTTGGGCACAGCCTTTTGAGTGATCTAGAAATTTCACAGCTTTCTTTTTTCAATTTTGCCCATCGAAGTATACTGTTTCCGAAAAAAGTATATAGAGTTTCTAACATCTCAAAAAATTGTCTGATTTCCGTAATATCTTTCACAGAATCGTTTATCACCAAATTTAAATTATGCGATGCACAATGAACATATTTTGCTTTTTTCTGTCGTTTCCGAAGTCGAGCCTGCAAGCCATTATGTTTACCACTCATACTTGCTGCTCCGTCTAATCCAATTCCTCTAAATTTACCAATATCAAGACCATTATCTTTAAATGTTTTAACTGTTTGTTCTTCTATTTCTTCACCTGTATTTCCTTCTGCTTCAGAAAAACCTATGAAATCTTCTTTTATTTCAATACTTTTAGGAATTCCAAGTTCATCTATATGTACATACCGATATATCGTAGAAACTTGGTCAACCTTGCTTATATCTTGTGTTGAATCTAGAATTAAGGAAAAAAATGGCGCGGAGGTAACATCAGATATTATATTTTTCTTTATTTCACTTTCTATTAATGCAATTATTTGATTTTGAATTTGGTGGCTAAGATATTTTATGCTTCCCTTTGGCTTCTCTAGAAGTGTTGCCAATATTGGATCATATTTGGCTAGAAGTCTTATTAAAGCCATAAAATTTCCATTATTTTTGAAGTTAGCATCTTCTCTATGGCCTCTGAAAGACAAATTTTGGCCACCTAATGTGATCGATATATCTATTATACGTGTCAAAACTGCGGTCCAATATTCAGATTCAGAAGCGTCTTGCTTTTTTATTTGACAGTCTATACTTAAATTTTTATGATACATATTATAAGCTTTACATGACACAAGATGAAATGTAGAACTTTCATGACGGTTCATAGCAATCGTTATGTGATCCCAGTCATCAAATCCGTCAATCCATGACGTTTGTTTATTTTTTAATCTATTCCCGAACAGAGTACATGGCTGGCAATATGCAACTTGACGAATAATCGAATAACTCAACCANTATTTATTTTTTAATCTATTCCGGAACAGAGTACATTGCTGGCAATATGCAACTTGACGTATAATCGAATAACTCAACCATAGTCTAATTGTCTTTCCACCAGACATTGATGACCCAGAATAATAATATTTCTCATTGAACGATAAATTAGATACACGATTATCTGAATATCTATAGAATGGTCCTTTAGGTTGGCATGGTCCATATTCAACAATAAATTTTTTTGCTGCGTCAGGCAACTGATNACATTTTTTTGCTGTGTCAGGCAACTGATTTAGATGGCTAAATGGCCAATATCAGTAGGGTTTGGTAACATTAGAAGCTTAGTAAAAAAATTTAAATCTGATATATTGTTACGTGGGGACGAAGATGAAGAGCTGGATGGTATTTTACCTAAAAATTCGTTGGTCGATAAAGGTGAGAAACTAGATGATGTTTCGTGTGCAATAGTGGTGACTGAAGAAGAAGGTAAGGGACTTGATGGCATATTTTGTGTTACATTGGCTGAAAAAGAGTTTGTAGAAAAAGATGGTTCAATTTCCGAATTTTTGATAAAGTACTTTGAAACAGACGGCAACAATTTAATCTTTTGCTCTTCTTCTGCTTTACGTTTTCGTTTACTCGCTCCACTCTCAAATCTTTTTTTATTCGGACCATTCATTATAAAACGAAATTCTCAAAGTCAAGTTGTGCACTAAAATTATAACACAAGAACAATACGTTTTCTTTCTATATTTTATATTATTATTAATATTATTTGTATAAGCAATTAGAATTTTAAATGAAATATCAGAATAAATTTAATATTGAAATTTCAAATATTATGTTGAAAATAATTAACCCGTCGTTGGTAAACATGTGAGCGCGGCGCTCACACAAATAGCATTTTAAACGTCAGTCACATAAATGTTTGTTATTTTGCTTGATTCTCTTATTACCTTCAAATAAAAGCTTACCAATAATTACAAAAAAAAAAGCCGCTATCTGTATTTCCCGAAGTTTTCAGTGTGCAAAATTAACTGTACCAATAAAGTGAGCGTCGCTTTCACAGTTTATCAATTTCATATTTTTTGAATTGCTTATACGTTTATTTTTTTTCAAAATAATGGCCAATAAAGTTTAATCTTTGTTGGAGAAGACTGTAGAACAGTTTTTAGAAGACTTATGTCAACCCAAGTGTTGACCCCGTCCAATTTTTTGAAAATGAATCGGACAGTGACATTTCTGAACCTGCGCCTGGTACTCACAATACCAGTCGCATAAATAATAAAAATACTAGTATTTTACAAAAAATATTTTACCAATTGGTAGTGAGCAAAATGATACTTTTCTATGTATGATTCAATTTTTTGAGTTGATCGAGTAATTAATAATAAAGGAAAAAGTAACGTGTGAGCGCGGTGCTCACAGTTTAGCAATCGTGATCCGTAACATAAGTTTACCAACGACGGGTTAAAAAATTAAAAATTACATAGACAATAATAACATCAGTTCTTTAGATTAAATCTTAAGTCTACTTTATAATGTTTTATGATGTATTAGATTAAATTAAAAACAAATAACGATACTATTTTATACCTACTAATACTATGTTTAAACTTAAATAATTACATGTTATACCTTGTCGGTAAGTACGTAAAAAAATATATTCAGTCATTAGTTTTAATATCAGATTGTTTAATTTTAGTATTTACCTAAGTACTACAAATGACGTCTAAGACGTTGATTTTCTCTGTCGCCGAATAATAGGATCGTCTTAAAAATGATAATTTATAATCACCAAAGTTAACGTAGTTCCGCCACTGAACAAGTAAAATACATTTCGAGTAACGCATCGCCGCCTAACAGCGATAAGAAAATATATTTTTATAAATAATTCTCGTATTGACATCAGATAACGCATATACACAACACAAAACACGTTTAAAAATATACTATAGTCTATACCCTTATCGGTTCGTTTTCGTGGTGAATATTAGAATAATAATATTTCAATATCTCATGTTTTTGTTTACTTGAAATGTTACAAAATGCATTGCATCTAATATTTCTATGATTAATACAATGAACTAATTTTTTTATTAAATAAGATAAATAATTAAAAATTTCGCTATGAGGCCCCTTTAACAACGAGGCCCGCGGAAAATCCCGCCTTTACACATATGTAGTTCCGCCTCTGAACACAGCGTGTCAGTAAAATTACTTTCAATGTTACACTCCCAAATCAGAACCCGAATTCACCAGTATATGAATTTTTTATAAACGTTTGAGAGTAATATTTTAAAAATATAATAAATTAACAATTAAATGATTATTGAATCATTGACACGGCTACGGTGTTGTCTCACCGGAACCCCGGGCCTAATAAAAACTCCCCTCCCCTTCCCTTCCATGAACACTAGGCGGATCATGACCACCCACCCCATCAAACATACAACGTAAGTATTGCGGCTTTTTACTGTGTTTTCGGCATTAACATATTTGACTATATATATATATAGTGTTAATTTTTATAAGTAATTTATATAAAAAATATAATTTGTATCATATTTACAGTCGTATGCATTCCGTAATGAGTCCTACATCTACTTTAAATTACATTTTAACGGCGTAAAATTGTAATTCTAATTTAAATACACGTATATACATATTCATGAACTTACTTGGATTTTAACTATTTTAAATTCAATATTTCTGTCTATTTTCTCCAAATAATAATTTAAATATTCATTCGTTTCTTGTGCTGTAAATGAAATTATTTCATAATTTGACAATTTTGATATATACATTACATGGAATTTCTGTTTTGTCTTAATGAAACATTAATATGTTTCAACAAGTGACATAAACATGACATATACATACTATTGTATTCGAAAATTGTATCTCGTCCTTCATAATTTAAAATAATGTTTTTTTCTTCGAACGTCTTAAAAATATAAATAATAGTTATAATAAAAAATTAGATAAAATTATAATTTTTGGAAAGTGATACGATCACATAAGTGTGATTATATCTAACATTATTATTGTAACGCTGACTAGGCTTAAATCGTTGACACTGTGACAACTTATTACTACAGGAGGACAGACTGCACACATAAACACTTTTGCAATTCACGGTCAATGTACCATAATAATATATCCCTAACGCTAGTTGACATTTTACCATCATTGCGATTCTTGTCTTTTATTTAACTTAACTGAACTTACTAACACTTGAATAGTGTGTGTGTGTATCACCGTTGGATTATATCATCTCTAGGTGTCCAGCAGGTTGTACTATTTATTTAATATATCTTTACTTAATAAAAATTGATATCGTTGTCAAGCAAGAGTGTTTTATATATATATTTTGGTGCAACCCTTGGTAGTTCCTCATGAGAATATAAATTAAATAGGAAACCTAAGTACCTAATGTAGATATAGCCTAGCCAGCTCCCCTTATTGGTCCCTTAGAATACTGTTGACGGGCAATTAGGTTCAACCCCTAAATAGCGACGTAACAAAAGTTAAAGAGTATAATTGTATCTTAGGGCGAGAATTTCTAATCTTTGAGGATAAAGTTACCAACTGGATAGTTTGGGTTCCCTTGACGTATTATCAGTTTAGTAGAAGCTAATAATCGAGGCTTAAAATAGTTTACCAGTGATTACCGAAAACCGATAAAAAAAATTACCTCATGAAATACGGTAATTGATTTGCATCATAAATAAATTAAAACTAATTATTCAACATTTATAATAAAAGTAACATACGATTTTAAATTGTATTATTATTTTTGGTTTATCGGTAATATAATTTTGGGTCTGGCGCTAAAAAATAAAAATATAACAATAATTATTTACTAAAAATAAAATCGTCAAATGGCCATCTTGGGACATTTTGATCATTTTAACAATATTTGTTATGATTTTACTAATATTGTAGATTGATACAACTAGAATGACATTTAAATGTCCCCTGTTTATCATCCTCTCTAAATAGGCCCATCTGACGATACCTTAAAATTTAAAGTATATTATTTATAATTTTTATTATAAAAAGTTTAAGAATTTATTATATAAAAAGTATAAAATATAAGATAAATTACCCACTCCCATCAAAATTAAAATACACGAAACATTTTTATTTATCTATTAGGTAGCTGATTTCTAACTTCTCTTACTGAGTTCACTTATGATAAAAATACTTACATAATTCAAATAAATTTCTGCATTCATTTTTTTTTTAATTACAAAATCCTGAAATAAAATCCAGTACCATTATTCAGTTTGGTAATAATCAGAAATTTCACTTAGGAATGATTCAAGCAGTAACTTAAAATAAACAGCATTATGTATAACTATGGCTTTTAACAAAAGCTCATAAGTAACAAAATTGGGTTTTTAAGACTTTGGATTTGTATAGAAAAAGATGTGCTCTGTCATAACCTACAAATTATAGGCAAGTTTCATCAGGAAGGATTACCTTTTGTACTATTGCAATGGATGAATACAAGCCTATTTGCTGTAGCAAAGATACGTATTGTTGTAAACGAAACGAAATGAATTGATAGCGATATGTTTTTTATTATCCATGATTTCTTGATAAATTTTCAATGTTCGTTGGTTAGAAGGTGTAAATCAAATTATTAAATATAATTCTAAAGAAATATTGAAAAAAATTTCATCAATATAGTTTCAGGACATTCACGCCATAAACGCTTCAATTTTTTTATATTTATTATAACTTGAAAGAAATGAGTGACTTCGTCACGATGGGCACTAAAAGAAAAAAGCGCGGACTACATAAAATGTCGACGAAAAAACACTGACTGGTTAATTGATGGGTAGACACAATAAAAATAAAATACTTCTAAGCAAAAGCTTAAAATTTATAAGTATAAAGTTATGATTATAAAATATAGTTATAGAAAACGTTGATATCCTTAATTTCAATTTACTTGATTAGTATAATAAATTGTGAAATTTATAGCAGAAAATATTTT